TTAGTAAGCCCTCCTTTGAGAATCAGATTCTTATTTCTTCTCACTCTCAAACTTTTCTTGAGAAGATTCTTGAATTCAAAATTACGTAAACTCTTTCATAACATTTTTCCAAATATCAAAGACATGAAATGCGGAAACTCCGTCCGTAGGCCCAAATTAGGATGATTGCCGAGGCTTTCGCGATATTTACTTGGTCAGGAACCTAACTGCGTCTGCTATTCTTAGCCTTGTTAGGAAAACGATCCGAGAACTCCGAGCGAACATTAATTAGTGCAGAACTGCTCTTCGTCCCGATAATTGAGATATTTCCTCGTCTGGAAATCTATTTTCTGCCCATTTATTCATTAGGCTCTGCACGGCCTATTTTCGAATTTCCTTCTTTTTTCCTGGCTTTTCAGGAGTTTTTCTTATTCGTGTCACGTAAGACTCGTTTAGTTTACCCGAACAGAAATATTTATAGCTTTCTTCCTTTTTCGGGGAGGCGCCACCCTGGATATTTGCTCATTTGCCTTCGTCTTGCTGTCTGTTACTTTTTTTTTCCTTTTCAAAAACCGAAAATTCACTCCAGTGGCTTCTTCTGCTTTTGAGACTGAACTGTACTTCAGGGTCTGAAAAAAGAAAAAAAGTTATTAAAAAAATCTCTACTTAGCCTGAGAAAAGGTGAAAGGATCTCTCCAAGGTAAGATGATTTATCTAATCTGTGCAGTTTGGCGCAAGGTGAACGCGTCGGACTGTCATTTTTGAGACCCCTGTTCGATCCTCGCGCCGGCGGTGGTCAGCCTTTTGCGTAACCAAAAATGGAAATTTTCACTCAAACCGCGTTGTCTATCGTCATTGAACTTTTTTTGTGCTTCTTTTGACAAGTTTCCATTTATTCACAACGCCTTGAAGTTTGTTAAGCCAGCGATGATTCAAACAACCTTCTCAATTAAAAATTTCTATTTTCGACGAACTTTGAACTTTTTGAGCAAACTTTTCACTTGTAAATGTCTTATGCAAGTCTAGTCACGAGGTTTCGAAACTTGCACGAAAAAGAAGGGAAAAAAAAAGCTTCAAGTGCTCCTGAGAGTAGTAGTTACGTGTACGTATAATTGCGGGTGTCCAGAACCCCGCGGACACTTTTTTCCCTTGTTTTTCTCCTTTTTTCGCTTTTTTTTTAGCAGTTTCTACAAAAAGCTTATTAATAAATTATTCGAAGAATACGGAAAAAGTCCCTCCTAACCTTGATTGCAGGCCTTGAAAAAGTGATCTGACTTCGAGTTCTTGGAAAAATCCGGGGGTGGCCTTTCCGGCTAATTGGATATTTTTGAAGGAAGTTGGAAGCTAGCTTTTTGCAATTAATCGAAGTTCCTCATTAAAAATTCCGGGAGGTCATAAAATCAAAAAAAATTTTTTTCTCAATTTTTCCCTTCATTTTTTTACGGCGTTGAAACAAACGTTGTAGTCACGCTTACGGTTCGTTTTGAAAATTCAAGACGAATTTTTTTCAAAATTTTCGAAATTGTGAAAATTTGAAATTCAATTTCTAGCCGGAAAAAGCTTGAATAGCTAAAAAGAGCTGATAAAAATATTTTTTCCCCAAAAAGACAGTTTTTTGGTCGTTATGTAATATTTTGATTTCTTGTATGCCTGAAAATGACTCGAAAATACAGAAAAATACAAATTGGACGCAAAGGTGCTCTATTGACAACATTTCATATACTAGTCCCGGCTCCGAGGGGACATCTGCGGCTCTCAGTGCATTACACCTCATATCTGGCCGAACAGCCGGCGAATAAAAACGACAAAAAGCGAAAAACCTTCCAGCGACGTCCTTTTGATACATTTTCCTTCTTTCAAGACTCTTTTTGAATATTTAATTATTGTTTTGAACGCGTAAAAGTGTTTCATCTCCTCGAAAATAATATTAAAACTCATTGAAAACGGATTCAGCTTAAAATTCGCCCCCTCCTGCTGCTGAAAATTCGAGTCAATTATTTTATTTTATTCTTTCAAACTCTCGTAAATGTTCAAAACCTATTTTTGGACGTGGAAGAATTCGCAAAACTTCAAAAATCAGGATTTTGAAGCTCTCCCTCTGAATAGAACTTCAACGAATTTAGGATCGATTCTCGGGTTAAACTTCGTTATTTTTGACTTTTTTCTGGTCTTGCAAGGCTGATGATTAGAATATAGTTTGACCGAATATCTTGTTGAGGTTTTTGAAACGAAAACAGCGATTAGAAATTTTAATTGATTTTTTTCAAACTACAAAAAACTTCCTGAACTTAAAAAAAGGCATAAAATTCTGCGTCAGTTCAAATCTTGCCCCAAAAAAAAAAATGAAATTGTGCGTGTAGTGCAAATTTACGTCATGCTTTCCTCATGCAGCCGTAAATGCACACGGCGCCAATTTTGAATTTCTGCCTCAATTTATTAAACGGGTTTCTTCTCGAAGCTTCGAAGTTATTGGTGTTGATGTTTCAAGTTAAAATATGGCGATTCGATGTCCAAGGTTGGTCAATCAATGATAAGCTATCATAATATAAATACCGTTCTTTTTAGTTTTCGCTTGGAAATTTTGGATTTTGGATTTTTTTTTTGTTCTTTAACTTGTTCTATTTGTCCTTAATTTCACTATTTTCACTTTTTCACGAATTTTCATCGGCAAAAATTAGCAAATTTTGATTTTTTGGTCCTGAACTCGGATACAGAAATTAATGATTTTTGAACGTTGAGCCTATTAACTGTTTCATTATCACAATCGAGCTTGATTTTTGGTTTCTTTCTTGGATTTTGATGGACGAAAGTGTACGAGCCCACCGTACAGCGGTAATGCCGACAAAGAAAAGTCGTGTAGACAATTTATTAGGCCTTGAGGCCGTTTTTTTTTCCTTTTTTTTGTCTCCAGGGAGAGTCGTTGCGAGACTCCGCCCACTTGCCCTCCGGCACTGATTGGTGTGGCATTTCGTCAGATCCGTCATCACACTGACATGTCAGCTCATTCTCGTCGGCTAGATTAATATCTTTCCAGACTATATTTAAATCTTGGCTTGAGTAGGGCCGGACAGACTTTCAGAATCTTTGAAATTTTTTTGGTAAACTTCCAAGGAGATTTTCATTCTGTAAGAGTAACGAATTTTATTCGAAATTTTTTGGCTAGAGAATGAGGTATGCACTTTTGTTTTTTTCGAATGAATTTTCGAAATGATCCTTTCAACTTCTGCCCAGTCCTTTTTCACTACTCTCTAACGTATCACCTAATTTGAGAATATAGAAAAAGTCCTCTTGAATTTTTTGAAAAACTTGATTTTTTCTCGCTTTTTTTTAGCGCTTCAAGTGACTGACTTTCAAGGCTTATCTGACCACATCTTCCCTTTTTCTAGAAAGTTTTTTCTCGTTATTTCAAAAGTTTAAACTGACCGAGAACGTGTAATATGTAGTTGCGGAGGACGATTCGTCCGCTGACCACTTTTTTTCGACAAATTCTCGGCCTCTTTGAAAGCCAAACACATTTTAAAACGCGGAAAGCTCGTTGGATTCCGTTTCTGTTCATTTTCATCGAGATAAATATTGAAAAAGGCCTGTATCTCCAATTTGCTATCATCATTTTCGTTATATCCTTTTTTTTTGTTTTCGACCAACTTTGCGCTTGTTACCACATTTAACGAAAACAACAATCGTCGACTCTGACCGATTTTCCCTGAAAATTACAACGTTCCTCACAAACTACTAGCTGGAAATTCTCCCATGTCATAGTTTGAAAATGAATTTGTCATTTCTTTTTTTCTAGCGAAAACAAGTTTTTATGAACTTTGCCCGTTTAAATTGAGACGATTTTTTGAATCTTCGCGTTTAATTATTGTTTGCATGCTTGAAAATGTTGAAAACTGCAAGATTCTACTGTAACTTTCCCACACGGAAAGAATGTTCGAAGAAGAGAAAAATTTCGAGTTGAGGAAGCAAAAAGTAAATTTGGTGAATATGTAAAATTGCGTCAAGTGCAGCTCTCCCTGCCGTAAATCCAACAAGAGCAAGTTTTTGAATTTAGTACTTCTTCTATATCATCTTCAGTGTTTTCAATTTCTGCTATGCAAATCTAAATCTTGATTGAACTATTTCATGTCTAGTTCACAGTTTCGGCTTTTTTATAAAAGCCATTATTTCGTTTGAGCATTGAGTTTGGAGTATTCTTGATTTTTAATAGAACTGCTTTTGTAATTTTGCTTTTTTCACTTCTACGGGAATTTAACAAGTGTGAACCTAAAAAAATTCATTTTTTTAGAAAAGGTTTTGAAAAATACAATCTTCGAAAAAAATTTTAAAAGACGTTTTTCATTTATTTTCATGAAACAAACTGAATAAAAATAGAATGAATTTTAAAAAAATAAGAGAGTTTTTTTGAACACAAAAGTTTTTAAATTGCTCATTTTTTTGAGCTAAAAGTCAATTTTTTCAAATGAGATCAGAATGTTATTCAAAAAATTCTTGTTGACTTATAGATTTCAGCCTTCATTTCATGGCAGTTTTTCAATAAAAAAATGTTAATTTTTTTTGACATCATAACCCAATTGAATATTGACGATTTTGTATTAGAAAGAGCCAATTTTCAAGCAATATTGTCCAGAAATGATTGATGTGTTGCTGTTTTTCACCGGCAGACGTCGCCCTTTGAAAAGTCATGAAGCGCAGTGAATTTTCTTGAATAACTGCGAAAACAAGCCGATGTCATTTGGCCTCGAAATGATCATTTGACAGTCTTTTTTGCTTTGCCAAGGAATTAAAAATTCGCTGCCACTCAAGTCGTTTTTTGGAGCATGGCCGAACTCTCGAACTTTTCAAATATTCCGCTGCTTCTCTTGCGAACTATTTTCCATTCGGGTCTTTTTTGTTCTTTTTCGATTGTTTTTTGATCTCTCGAGGGTTTCGATCAATATTAAATTTATTTTTTGATACAGCTCTTCTTTTTCAATGCATTTTAATTTCTGTCCATTTATAAATCCAGAAAATAATTTCAGAAAATGACGAACAACCATATGCTATCTTCAACGTTGCGCGTCACTCGCCGCCGTTCTACCAAAGCTCTAAACGAGATTTTTCGACCTTTTTCAGCCAGGTAAACTGAATTTCGAAGCAGTTGAAGCAGAAAAAAACTTTTTTTCTTTTTAATTTTGTAGAGAAGTCAGTCACTTTTTAGCTTTCAACTTTTCTCTGTAGACTTTTATATTTGAAAAAAATAGTTGAGTTAGGCGCTCAATTTTTTTGAATTTCGAATTTTTTTGAAAGGTTGGAAGCTCTCATAGCTCTGAAATAATTAGTTTTAAGATCGAGAAAATTTTGAAAAACTTTGTTTTTCATATAATTTTTTAGCGGTTTATACTCGGAAAAGAGTTTCATCAATTTTACAAGGGAGATTGTGGGATGGACACCTTGAGTGAAGTTTTTTGCACTTTACAACAAGTCTTGAAGCCATAAAAATTTATAACGGATACGAAGTCAGAAAGATGACTCATCCTTCAGCTGGAAATTTCAACTTTTTACCGATTTTATGGATGCTAGGAAGAAATTTCGGATCCGCGAATATTCGTGAACGTGAATTGTGCTTACACTAATTTTGGGGGCTCGAAAAATTTTTACTATGAGCTCATATTCCAAAAAAAAAAATTAGAAAAAAAGAACTAATTGTCTTGAATTTGGAAAATTCAGTTGATTTTCTCATAGAAGTTCAGCTCGAAGAAGGAGTTTCAAGAAGTTTTAGACAGAAAAATAAACCTTATAAAGTTTATTTATCATTGAAACTGGAAGCCATAAGAAGTTTAAAGGCCAAACGGATGACTCAGCTGGCATTTCCATTGTCAATCTTGCACGAGAGTCGCGCTTCCCTAGTCAAAATAAGAAGAGAAAATCGAAAGGTTGGCGCGAGTCCAAATTGGGGTGTGGCTGGAGGTCCGGCTCGTTTACATGGGTCCTCCTCATCACAGCATCTGCTGCTCTTTCAAAACTCCGAATTTTCGTCAATTCTCCATTTCCTTTTGCACTTTTTCGGCCTACCAGTGGACAATATACTGCCTTTTGAAGATTTGAGAAAGATTTATGAGAATGAGGTCATAAAAATGTTATTGGAAACATTGGAGAAATTGAATGGCTAAAATTTATCATCTTTTCCGCTGTTGTTCTTTGATGCTATAGGTCAAAGTTGAATTTTCGAGTTTTCGACTAATTTTTCTTCTCGAGGCTCTCCCTTCTGAGAAGACAGAGCACGAGAATTTTTTTGCATTTTTTTTTACCAATTTTTTAAAATTCTTGTGTAGTTTTCTAATTGAAATTATGACGAGATCCAAAAAAATTGAAATTTTCAAAATATTTTAATTGCATCCATTCTGCTTTAATCGACTTGAAATGTCACATTTTTTTAGAGAAATGATCATTTCGAACTGATTTTGAGTTTTTTTTTTGTTTTTGCTATCGGTTTCGTATGAAGTATAACTTGCTCACAAGTGATTTTCTTGAACTAAAAGTTATGTCAAAGTTAATATTCAAATTTAAAAATTTTTACCAGGAATATATTTTTTTTAGTAATTTTTTTCGAAAGTAAAAAATCTCCTGGAAGAAAATCACAAAAAGGCCATTTTTCATCTTTCAAGCTTGGCAAAACCTTGTTTAAAAGTTTTGTATACTTTTTCAGTTGGTGTGATAAAAAGTATGAGCTCTGTGTTGTGCTCACTGTACATCTCAGAGAACTTGTGTTAAGTTGATTCTTATCCGATAATTTCGAAGAAACAAGTTCTGAATTTCCGAGGCTCGAACCCCGAAATCTTCAGTTCTTTTTTTTTGTTCTCCGCTACCCTCATTATCTATACAAATGCAATGCGCGGTGTGTGGGCACAACTGCATGCCCAATTCGCGGGTCTCGGACCTTTGAACTCTTTCAGAAAAGCTTTTCTCGTCCCTTATAACATATTCGCTTCACACTTGCCGTTGTCCCTATTCAGAACAACTTCTCCCATTGTCGAAGTTTTCTTTTCCCGAAAGATTTTTGGTTTCGACCCTGTTGCTGATCTATTTTAACACTGAAATATGAGATGATAAACAGAAAAATGCTTGTTTTTCCATGTCCCAACAACTTTTTTGCATGTTTCGAGCGGCTCGAATTGCACGGAGATAGATAGCTTTTCATTTTGGCGCAGTTGAAAAAAAAAGAACCCGAGTTGAAAATTTTGTTGAGGGAAATTTTTTTTGGAATGTTCAGTACAAAGATTTGATTGCTTCCCTATTTATTTTTTTAAAAAAACTTCAATTCTTTATATCTTCTGCGATGAAAGTTCAAAGTACAGAAAACAACTTTCTAACTTTAAAATATGAGTCAAAAAGTGTAGGAGAAAACGTTTTCTGGCGTCCTTCAAAAGCGAAAAGTTTTTTTTTAAATTTTAATATCGAGAGCATTTCTTGATTTTTATGCCAAAGCCTTCTCCTTCTTCGAAATTTGTTGTCGGAGCGGTTGGGACTAATTTTTCGGTAATAATTCACGATGGAAAGAGCCGATCAACAAGAATACCCAAATAAGCGTTATGAAAGTAGGAAATTATTTTTGTTCGGCCGTGATCCGTTCAGACGGTTCAGTACAAGAGTTGGCAAACAGCCAAAACGTCAAATTCCACGCTTGATGTTTGCGTGAGCCTAGAGATGCCGCCAAGTGGCTGGGAAATTCGGGTTTAAACTTTTTCGGATCATTTTTCGAACAGTTTGCTGTTAAACAAAATTTTTCAATTGCGTAAAGCTTTTTTTGCTTTTTTTCCCGCTCTAACAGATTTTAAAAAAGTTCATTATTTTTTTGAGCGTCCAAGGGTGAATATCCTTTCATATAATTCGTCCGCGAATGTCTAAAAAAGTATTTGTTTTTGGACCTGTGAATTTTCAGCTTGAGTAGAAAGATTGATGTTCTAGATTGTTATTTGAAAGTTCCAAGCTTTAAATTTTTTGTTTTGCAAAGTAGAGTTTTTCGAAAGTTTAGCGGTTAGAACAATATTAGGAAAAACGAGTTTTGAAAGGTTTTTTTTTGAAAACCTAGGAAGTACTGTAGGTGAGAACTCGCAAGGAAGATAATTTTATTTTACGATTCAAAAATTCCTGAAAATTTACCAAAATGCCTTTTGATGTACCATATCATAATCTTGAATCTGCACAAATTCGTAGTTTTTGAGAAGAGAAACCTCAAAGTCAAAAAAGAACCTCAATACCCGTTGAAATAGGCTTTTTTGGAGCTTATATCTTTGCCAAAAAAGCTCTTATTTCTCGAAAACTAAGAAGATTTGCAGGTTGAGACTTCCAAGACCATGTTTTGGTAAATCAAGGAGTGTTCAGACCAATTTTCAGGAAATTTTGAATCGCAAAGTAAAATGACTTCCCTTGTAGGACCAAAACACATTTTTAACCGAATTTCAGTGAAAATGAGAAATAAAATGACCGCCTTCCTTGTCAAAATGAAAAGCTATTATTTCTCTATGTTGAATTAATTGCACGCGAAATTCCAGCACATCCGGTGATAAATTGGGGAAAAGACGATTTCATCTCGAAGCACGAATGGAAATATTCCCACGGCTGACGTCGTCATTGCGATTCTGGAATTAATTCGAGTTGATTCTCATTGACAAGTGCGTCGTCTGGCCCTCCCGACGGAGCCATTATTCCACGCGCCGCTGCTTTTCTTTCATCTTCATCCGACCTGGCTTGAATACATTTCGTTTCCGTGTGCACCTTGTTATCCAGTACTTGGAGCAGTCTAGATTTTCTGGGCTCTCTGAATCTTGCTGTTTATGCTCCTAGGACCGCTCTGATTAGAGAGATGAGAGCGCAGACGAGTCAGAGTGTTTAGAGGATGAGATGTACTCATATTGAACCGAGGTACAGCTTTTAGCCCCTAAATTCTCTTTTTCTCTTTGAAATTGACCAGTATCAGCTCCAAATTTCCGTTTGCGCTAAATTTACTTCACTAGGGAACGTTTTTTACCCCCCGGTTGAACTTTTGCTGAAACTTTCGCCTAAGTGTACTTTAGGACCCCCTAATCCCAGAACAAAAAGAAAATTTCTCGCAATAGACCTCGTTTTCGAGTTAGGACACTTCAAAGGCCCGAAAAAGCGCTTTTTGGCTTAATTTGCGTATTTCGCGGACTTTGAAGATTCATAATTCGAAAACGAGATCTATTGCAAGAAATTTTTTTCTTGTTTTGCAATCAGGAGGTCCTGAAGTACATTTCCGCAAGGTTTCAGCAAAAGTTCAACGGGGGGTAAAAATGTTCCCTGGTCAGTAACTACATCACATTCTCACCAGATCCTCTGAAACTTCCGAAATATCTCAAATCCGACTTCAAGAGAGTAATTTGAACGTTCTCATCAAATCTTGGTTTATTCACTTTACCCTTTCCAGAAAAAAACGGAATTGGTTGCATAGGAAGAAAGTCGTTCCGAAAGCGAACTTTTCAAGAAACTCCGAGTCCCTCATAGAAGGCCGAATAGCTTATGATTTCTAATAAATTATTCGGCTTTAGGTTTCGCCATAAACATTTCTCGTTATATGTATATTTTTCGCCAAATAGATAAGACATCAAAAATCAGCAGATATCTTGAGTTTGAAGTCTTTCCGAACCGCTGGCTTGGTACCGGAAGTCTACAGAGACGTTGAGCCTCTTTTTTTCTTTTTGCCTGATCTTTAAAATATCATTTCGAGATAGCCGTGAATGAACTATAGCTTCCTAGAGCTTTTCTCAATTTTTATTCCTCCCAAAAAGTAGAGAAAAACGGAAATTCGTGTTTTAATTTGGAGAAATGATTGAGAGAAATAGATTCCCGTTACGTCTGGTCCCCGCGGAGACGTCACTCGAAGCGTTTGTTTCCCTCATTTTGAAATTTGTTGACGTCTTCCAGATTCCCGTTTTTTATGACGGAGAAAAAAGTTATTCGTCTTTGCTTTTTTCATTCCTTCATTACGGATTTCTCTTTTTTTGAAAAATTCATTACCCTTTGAATCTGCCTTCAAGCTCAAAAATTGATTCTGAAGCTTTTGAACCTTTTTTTTTTGACTTTGATCTGGAAATTGAGTTACAAGAACTGACAATCTTAGAAAAAAATATATTCCCTTATCAAAAAATTTCTGAAATACTAATTGTTTTTTTTCTTAAAATGCTTCTTACCGGAGCAAATGGTCGCACATAGAATGGCTCAAAACAGAATGGCTTGTTTAACTCGCTCCGGACCAGAAATGACTTTCGCTTAACGAGTCGTAGGATTTGTTCTAACCGCAACGCGACCGCGACGCATCGAGCCATTCCAAGTGCGACCTTCCGAATGGGTTGAATGAATTCTTCTGCCTTCATAAGGGTAAAACTGAGTCATCGTTTTGACGCACCAAGAACATTAAAGAAAAGTTTATTTTTGTAAAGCATATCTCTAGAGCTCACATGTAAGCGGAGCTCTTTTTTATTTTTCGAAAGAAGATTTCAAGAGATTCCTTTTCCTTTTCAGATGTCCTATTTTAGGGCATTGTTTTTGTTTTTGAGAATCATTAGGACGACGTCATCTGAAGGGTCCTCGGGAGATTCTGCAGAAATCACTTGAGGCGTTTGTTCTTTGCCGTAAACACTTTGAGCACTTTCCGACATGTGCGAACGAGAGGAAAAAGAAGAAGAAAAAGTATAAAAAAGATCTGAAGAACAGCGCGAAAACCGCTTACCAAACCTCAACGAGTTGTTATTTTCGGAGGCAACACGGATAGTTGAGTGCTCTTTTTTTTTGCTAGACTTTGAATTTTTGGAAAACTTTTCTCACTCTGAGATCTTTTGATTTTGGAACTGTTTTCACTCCGGCTTCGTATTTCCTTTTTTGCACTTGGAATGGATGAATCACAAAACGCATCAAGACCTAACGACCTGATATTAGTTTCGAGGCTTCGTTGTTTGCCTCTCTTAATGGATATCCTTCGTTCCTTTCGTTCCTCCTGCTTTTTCCATCTTTCCTGGTTAAGGTCGCATCTTCACTTTTCTGATATTTGGTTCTGAACGTGTCGACGAAACCATTTTTTGAGCAAACAGTTCAAAAATTCAATAAACGAATATTTTCGGCCTTTATTCGCAGAAAGTTGAAATTACTGTTTCAGGGAAATTCAACTTTTTGTAAAATTTTTGTTTATATCCAGTTTCATAGAGCTATTAGATCCAAGTGATTCAAATGATTCTAGCAATAAAAAAATGTAAACGTTTAGAATTTTTACACTTTGTCGATTTTGGAACGCTTGGAACATAAAATCCGCAGTTTTTTTTTTCCGGATCCTTTAAAAAAAGTTAAATCGAGGCGTTTTGAAAAAGTATCTTGTTCAATATTAAAATATGAACCGGTCGGTTTGTTTCTTCATGCACGGAATCTCTATGACAAAAAACTCGAAAACATGACAAATTTAGCATAACTTCCGGTTTCACATTAGATATAAATCTGTTCTCAGTTCCTATTTTTGTTCATTTTTGTCTGTGTATCTCTTACTTTAGAAAAATGTTCGCTAGTTGAAGTTATTTCATCGATTCAAATTCGACCGAAAAACCTTCGATCAGAGCAAATCCATACAAAAAAAAAATAGAAAATCGTCAAAATATCGAACAAAGAAAAGAAAAATGAATAACTTTTTGATTTTATTCATTTCCTCGAATATAATTCTCGCGTGACGAGAAAATTTAATGGCTCTTCGGCGGCGCGTGGAAAACGACATCCGACGCGACAGCTTCCCGCTTTACTCCCGCCTTTGGTTTTCGGCCGTCCTGACTTTTCCCCTCTTTCCCATCCAATTACGGCCGTGTTCTCCGGACCCGGCTTCATATTCTGGTCATTTACACGAAAATTAGTGTTTTTGTGATGCTACTTGAGCCGAGGAAATCTTGTTTTTCGTTATTTTTTTTTTCTCGCCTTCGTTCGCTGGCTTGAGCCAACTTCAATTTAAGTTTTATCCGGTAATTTTTCCCTAAAATTGTTCCCTATGAGGGATTTTGTGCAAGGAAACCAATTTTTAAGGATTTTACAGTAACCTGAGTTTTTTCGATAAACTAGAGATATTAGAGAAGAAGTAACTTTTTCTATTTTAAGATTTCTTCAATAAAATGGAAAATTTTTTCAGTTCTTATTGCATTTCAAGTTCAAAAATGTCACTGAGGCAACGCCAAAAAATGAAAAAAAAAGTACTTCTGAACTCAAATTTGACTCCTGTTTTTTATTTAAAGTTTTCTGCTAATGAAAAGTGTTCTCGTTGAAAAAATCAAACTTTGCTGCACGTTCTTTTTTTTCCTGCTGAACCTGGTTGAGTTACGTTATATGGAGATTTTAAAAAAAGATGGACTTTAATATGGAGTTAAGAAGGTGTTATCAACATTGATAGATATAGTTTTTCAAATTGCGAAATTGGAAAACAGCTGCATTTTCAAATGGTCCTGAATTTTCTGCTTCTTCCATCTTTTCGAATTCAAAGTTCTTTTCCTAGAAGATGAGCAGAAACGTGGTTAACTATGTTCAAAAACTAAATTTGACATCAGTTTATTTTTCTTCTTTCGAGTAGACTTCCTTATTTAAAAGGTACAGAGAAATTTTCGTAAAAACAAAAAAACTTTTTTCTTTTACTTTCTAAGTTATTTTCAATTTAATATAGTAAGTATTCTTAAGTTCTTTTTTTTAGAGGATTTTTTTTATGATTTACAGAAGAAAAATCGTTTGAGTTAAAACAAAAGTTACTCTATTGAAAATTTTCCTTGATCAGTTTTGAAAAACTTTTGGATTTCATTTTTTCGCATTACAATTGTTGATGAAGTTGTGTTCGTTAGGTGACAAAAGTCCACTTTGTTAGCATGCACATAACCTTTTTTATTAGAAATTCTCACGAAAGCCATTTTAAAGGCATAGGGGCAGTAAAAAACTGCGTTTCAGTTCAAAGCAGTACTTTGTAGAGCTTTTCATTGCAAACCTATGCCTTTAAAGGCCTCATTTCGAAGTTACACGATCACGAGCCAATAAATGTACAAAATAACTTGTTGGCGTGTCAGCATTTTTTTGAGACCTGGAAAATGCTTTTGCTTTTTCTTTCTGTTTCTTGAAGAGTATTTCATTCAACTGCTAATACTCAAATAATCGGCGTCTTGAGCAAAAATGTGCAGGATCTGGTGAGTTTCAGGTCACTGATCTTGAGAAAAGTTCAAAATTTCCCTCCTTTTCGTGTTGAAAAATTTGGCGATAGTTGAGAGTTTCCTATGAAGTTTCTCATTTCGGAGAGAAGTTCCAGATTTTTCTGCACCTGCTTGGCAATTCTCATGTCCCAGGCAAAGTATCTCCCGAAAATCCTCTGAAAAAAGGGCTGAATTTCGCATTCCAACGGCAAATTGGGTTGAAGTCGCGGCGTTTAGAATTCGCACGGCGACTGAGATTCTTCTTTTCTTTTTTTTTTCGAGTCACTGGCTTTACTCGATGTTGATGTTGCAAAGATTAAGGAGACTTGCTTTCAAAAGGGACTTATTTCCTTGTTCGGTAATCTTCTTTTTGCTGAATCTTTTTCTGCTTCGCGTATTTTTTATGGGCACGTGATCGCACAATTTTCGATTTGTACCCAGTGATCAATATCGTTTCGAACTTCTTACAGAGAAGGTCATTTTACTTTGTGTTTTGAAATTCCACGAAATTTTGCCAGATCACTTCTTGACGTACCAGAAGAAGGTTCTGGCAGTCTCAACCTGCACAGTCTTCTAGTTTTTCAGAAATAAGGATCCTGAGTCCAAAAATAGTTAATTTTGACGGATTTTGAGCGCTTTTTTTTCGAATTTGTGGCAGTTGTGCAGTTTTGAACTTTCAAAATCTTCTTCTGGTACACCAAGGAGTGTTCTGGCCAACTTTCACGAAAATCCCGATTTTAATGAACCTTTCAATTTGTTAGCGGTGACCAGAGTTTCTGTGCCTCAAGCTCAGCGTTAGATTTTTCCAATTGGCGCTTCAAAAATAGTCCAGTTTGGCCCTGGAAGTTTTTTTAACCCTGTAAACAACGACTTTTCGAGGCTCACTTTTAAAAAAAAATTTTTTTCTTTTCTCAGAGCTCAAAATTCACGGCTTTTGCGCCCTACTGCACTTTCAATACATACTTTGCTTTTATTCTACCGAAAATCTGAGCGTAGTAGGAGAGTTGGAAAGCACAAAAGAAGAGAAAAAGAACATTGAGAAAGACCAAAGTGACGAATTAAAGGTGTCGGATTACCGTCTGTTAGCCTTTGTCGCCCCGTTTTTTGTGGTCTGGCTAATCCTGCCGTTCTTTGCCTCGAAGGCTCAGAAGCCGAAAACTTCGGCTCATCTTATATTCAGCCATTTTCTCTCTCTTTTCATCCAAGGAAGGCGAGAAAGTGCAAGAGGACATGGGATTTTTGTACAGTTGAAAATTTATTTTTTCGATTTCTGTAGCATCTTTGTCCATTTTTTAAATAGTAGAATTTGAAAAGCTACATCAAAATGTTTCCTTAAAAAGGCAGGATTTTTTAGAGCTCTTTATATCCGGAAACTTTCTTTTTTTAAGTTCTGGATTATTTATTTAAGGCAGATTCTTGTACTCAACCCTGGCCTTATTTTTTCCGTCCCTCATTTTCTTCAGTTTTTAACACAAAATTACTCTCGAAAGCGAATATTTTTCAGGAGGTCGCAGTCGATCGCCGGCGTTCGGGTCTCGCCACGAATTCGCGGTCCAATGCCCGCCAACACCTCCCTCTCACACACGATCGACATCTCCGTCGCCATCCAGTATGCATTTTGGTCTTTTGAGCCAGTTTTTGAGTTTAGAAAGGAAAGACACCGAAAATAAGAAAATCAGACATTGAACGACTTCTTATCACATACAAAATAATAATTCGATTACAGATGCAACAATTAAGAAAGTTCAGAATAACGTTTCAAAAAGATGACATGTAATTTTAAAACTGCAAATATATATTATTTGTTCTAATTTCTGATCCTTGACAATCCAGAATGGTCCCTATAGGGGTTAGGAAAAAAAAGCTATCTTAATTCAAAATTAATTTTTTCGTATGGAAATTTTTCTTCTCATAGAGCCCATAACAATAAACGACTAGCAAGTCCCCTGTAGGGGCCACTTTTGAAAGCTTCAGGGCCTCTATAGGGACCACTCTGGCGTTTCCAAGGCAGTATGCATTTTCCAAGGCAGTATTTTGCAATACGCCCACGTCTGTCTACAAAGAAATAATTCAAAAAAGTTCCGAGAAACGATTATCACGAACCTTGTCATTATTTATCCTCATATGGAGGAATTTTGCCTAATTTTAGCCTTTTTCAGCGATTTTTCGACTTCCGAAACAGCCAATCAAGTGACGTGCGAGCTGTACGAAAATGATACGGAAAGCGAGGAAAAGTTTGTTTTTTTTTTTTTTGAAGCTTTTAAGGTGAAAGGTGAAAGTAGCAGTTAGATTCCTTCTAAAAAGTATTGAATTTTGTATGGAGCGAAATGGAAAAACTTGAAAAACATCTATTTCTGAGAGTTATACTTTTTACAGAGGAGAGTGAAAAAAAGTTTGAAGTTTGACATTTGAAAAAAATAACTTCTTTTTTTATTTAACAACAAGTAAAAAAATGACGAAAAAAAGTAAATTAAAAAATTTGAGGTCTTTATTCTTTTATCGGTAAGTAGTGGGAAAAGCAAAACGTTCAAAATCAGATTTTTTATTTTTCAATAAAACAAATCGTTTTTGAGGACTTTCAGACCATTAAAGGAGAAGCCAAAATGAAGCGAAAAAAAAATCAAAAAAAAAATTACAGATGGAAAAAAGTTGGCGTGGGTGCTCCGGTCAGATTCTCGCGCAACATCGAATTCCCCACGAAATTCGCCTATCAGTTCACTTTCGAACGGACTCAGCTCATCAAAGTCAACATGTTAGTGGTTTGAAATCAGAAAAAGGAAAAAAAAAAGTATGGAAAATCATAAAACTCGGAACTTTCAGCTGCCGATGCCACGACCACGACATGGCCTCCTGTTCCGATGACGTCATGGCCACTAGCATTTTTAAAGTAATAGTTAAATAATTCCTTGGAAGGGTAAATGACAATCAAAAGACCTGTAAGCCAGAGGAACCTAACAAAAAAGTTTTTCAATGAAAAGTTTGGTATTTTCTGAAAAGTTATCTTCGAAGGTTAGGAATAGTTTTTGTGGTTTGAAAATTGTTAGTTTTAGGTCTGATTCTTGTTGAACACAGGCGAATCGAGAGGGTACCATAATGTGTCCACAAAGGTACCTGTCAAAATGGATCAGGAAGACCCTGTAATATGTCCATCGTGAGACCTCCGGCATACCTTTTAGCTATATCTGAGCCATCTCGGAGGTACTTCAGAGCCTCTCCCAAGCCCCTCTCCTTTCTCAGAGGTATCCTCGAGGTACCATCGTGAGACTTCGGAGCCTGTGATATACCTCAGACGGTGTCGCGGAGGGTCTCTCAGAAATCTTTATCTGGACCTTCAAAGGATCTTCGAGAAAGCCTTTGGAAGCTTGTAAACTTAATAATAATAATTTATTCACAGATCAGTGTGAACCCCAACGAGTTCACTTTGATCTACAATTTGAATAAAGAAGAAAGTTGGAGTAAAAAAAATTGAGATCAGTTAGGTCTTGGTGGAATAGAGGTAAAACATTCGTTGCGAGGTAAAACGACCAATAATTTTTTCAAAGAATTAGGTGGAAGGGTGAACTGATATTTGGATGTAAGTTTATTCCAAATAGGAATCGTTTTGAAGAAAAAGTTGTTAGAAAACTGACCTTGAGAAAAACTTAATTCAGAACTCACCTTTTTTGTCAGAAAAATTATATGAAAATCAATACTTACTTACAGGTCGACGAGCTGATCGGCTCCTTCGGTCTACAACTTCGGCGAAGCTTGATGTTAGTTCTGCTCTCCTTTTGGATAGAAGTCCTTTTTTCAGGAGAACCACGACGATCGCTTCAACTCTGAGTACTTCTTCGCGACATTCTTCCGAATATTTGGGCGGTCTCATTATTTCAGGTAAGGTTGTACAAGTGAACGATTTTTGAGAAGTTTTGTACCGAAAAATGTCGAACAATTATGTCAGAGTGGATTTTCTAACTTTTTAAAATCTCGATCCAGAAGTAAAAAGTCCTGGATTTTTTTTATTTTCTGGAAATAGGTCTTGAAACCAAAACATTTTTAAAAAAAGTGAATTAATCATAAAGCAAAAAAACACATGAGTTGAAGACCAATGAGATTCTAACTTTTGGAAAAAAAAATTGAAATCGAAAAAAAAAATTGAAAACTTTCCTTCCAGCTGAGATGCCCGAGAAAGAACAGCCAATCGTCGTCCAGTTCCACGGAAAATCGATCGATCGGAAGGACTTCCTATGGGATGAAACGGCCGTCTTCTTTAGGGTAACATAGTTGAAAGTCTAGAAAAAAATGTTAACAGTACCTGAAAATGGCCTTTAAGAGTATATTTTCAATGGTTGGTCCGTTTTTGGCGACTTGAAAGGCCAGAAATTTCTCTGCGCCCACCTGTTCTCTCGGACACCCTCTTATTTTGCCTTGCTGTTTTCATGTTTCTCTGACCTCAGCCGTGAGGGAACAGAGAGACGCAGACACTCGGAACCTGTCAAGTCGCGGAGGACGGACTATCCTAGGAACTCCAGAATGGTCCCTATAGAGCCCTCGAAGTTTACCCTTTAGGGACTACTATACTTTCCCTGTCGGTGTCATTAAAGCATGAGTGAGTGACCTCTATAGGGGTTCAGGTTATTGACCCAAAAGGAGACATGATAGTCGATCATTGTTTTGAACGCTATAAGTTTTCCATACCAAAAAATAAATCAATTAGCGTTTCTGTATGTAAAAATATCAACAGAAGATGATTTGATAAGATCCTATAGGGATCACTTGAGGTTTACGTTAGGGGCCTAGGGGGCATTCTTTTAAACCCCTATAGGGACCATCTTAACTTTACCCCTATAGGGGCAACTTTTTCGTCACTTTTTGGGGATATTTTCCCCCTAAACCCCTATAGAAAGCACTGTGGCGTTCCTAAGCGATTTTTCAATGAAGATTTCCAGGTTTTCCGGCTGGAAGAAGGCAAAGACGACGACAGTTTAGTGTTCCTTTACGAAAGCGAGGCAATCAAAAACCATTCCCATCCTCAATGGGCCGAGTTCCGATTGGATACTCAGGACGCGGCTGATAACCGAAATCGGTGATTTTTGGATAAGATTCGTTCAAAATAAGTGAAAGTAAGGATTAGAAAGATAATTCCAATGTTTTTGAGAAATAAAATTTTCGCCTTTCTTGCACCTGGTTTAAGAAAAAAACGCTCAGCGAAATATGGCCCTTTTTTTGTTTCAAATGCGCTCCAATGAAAAATAACGGTAATCCTCTAGGCTTCTGGAAATCTGGGTAATGTACCGAGACGTTGACGGAACCGAAGGCTACATCGGCAAGTTCCTGACGACCTACGCCAAAATGAAGTACGGACCGGGGCCGGACAACGTCTACAACGTCATCAACGACGTCAAGAAGGCCCAGAAGAAGGTTTTCGGATGGAAGATTCAGGGAAAATGATCGAATATTGCAGAGTTACGAGCACAGCGGCAAAATGGAGCTCGTCAAGTTCACCGACGTCTCTTTCTACTCGTTTTTGGACTATGTTGTTAGCGGGTTGGTCTAATTTTTATTTTGACTTGAAAAAATAGAACTTGGAGAGTTTGATTTGTAGTCTACATCGTCCATTCACTACTACCTGGAGGCAAGAAAAATGATGATATACTCGATTTTCCCCGACTTTAAAGGCGAGATGGGTCAATAAAAATGAGAGATAAAAAGAACGTTTTCATTTTTGATCGTTCAATTATGATTTTGAAGACCATAAAGCCTTCAAAGTTATTGAGAAACTCAAAAAGGAGAACAGCTTTGAAAAAGGTGGCTCGAGTTTGAGTTTGAATTGCCCGCCAAAAAAACCGCGTCGCACACGCAACGCTCCACCCTTGGCGATCTACTTATCTCGACTTCCAATTTAGGAATTTTTTTCTTTAAAAACGCCCTATTCAACATCAATTTTAAGCGTATTTAACATCAGTTTCAGAAAAAAACTGCGCATAATTTACATTTTTTTATAAAAAGAGACTTTGAAGTATTGTCCCGCAACGTTTTGACGCGCTGAAAAAAGCCTTTTTCTTGTCCCAAGCCAGAAATACTCTTAAAAGAGCGCTTTATCGAAGAACCTGAGAAACAAACTGATCTTTCGTTTCTAGAACTCAACTCCATTTTGAAATCGCCGTTGACTTCTCTTCAGCCGAACCTGTTCACGAACTTGATCAACGACGGTTTTCCTTCTAATTTTTCTTTAATTTTATCTCGAAATTTTCAGTTTTGACGGTGAACTTCACATGGCCGTCAGAGCGATCGGTGGGATAATTCGAGACTATACTCCGTTTGTTTTTCCCATAAAAAGCTATTCAAATTAAAAATTACAGTAACCGACTGTTCCCGGCTTTTGGAATCGGAGCGAAAATCCCGCCTACGTTCCATGAGTCCAACGAGTTTTTCCTGGTCAGTCTTTAGAGATGATGCTGGTCGCATTTGGAATGGCTTGAAGCGTTGCGGCCGCGTTTTTTTTTTGTTGGTCGAAAAGTATCGGATATTTGGAATTTCTATAGTTTTTCCAAAAAAAGGCAGTAGATCAAAAAAAAAATCTTCAATTTCTGATGAGTTGTTTCAGACTGGAAATCATGCTTCTTGAAACCTTTTGTTAAACATTTGAAGCACAAAAAAACAGACTTTCATTTTCGAAAAATTCCAGCAATTTAAGGTCATTTCAACGTTTCAGCCAGAGTTTTCAAATTTTTTTTAATATTCTTACCTCGCTTATAAACTCGAGGTGCGACAAAACGTTGCCAACCGTTTTTTCATGGCAAAAACGGTTTTTTTTTTGTCCTATACTTCGCGTTGAGACCTTTTTTTCGACCTTTTTTGGTTTTCGCAGTATTTGAAAACATCGAATTGCACGGAGTACTGCGGAGGAACTTTGGGTTTGGAAGTTAATTATATTTTCTGAACTCTTGGAAATGGCTTTTCAAATTCCAGTTTAGATTTTTGAAAATTAAATCAATTTTTCTTTCTTTCAAAAACCAACGTTTTTTTCTTTCTAGAACTTCTCCCTGGATCCGATTTGTCGCGGTTTGGACGGAGTGATGGACTCGTACAAGAAAGCCCAAACTTTGGTCACGCCCACCAAGGAATCGAAACTGGCTCCGGTCATCAACTACGTTACGAGGTTTCCAACCTTCCTTTTTTGAAATCTTTTTGCCTAAGAGCTGACGAAGATTTTTTAAATTTTTTGCGAGTTCAATCATTCAATCATTTTTAGTCATGGATTTAATCGACTAGCCAGTGAACAAGAACTTTCAAAGTTATAAATAACAACCGCCCTTGGCGAACTAGAAGTCCAAACCTGTAGTTGATCAAGTTGAATGCATGGTCTTCCGCTCCTAAGCATAGTTCTTCTGTGCTTAGTCCATTCAGTTGCGCCTTGAAGAGCTCAGCTTGTAGCTGATGTTGTAGTTGGGGCCCGGAGAGCCTGCTCTAGGTGAAAGCCTCGAAATGAGATCAACCACTTCGATTGAACATTTAACACGAATTGGACCTTCCAGAATGTCGCATCGATCCGGATTCCGCGGCCTCCACTACCATGTTCTCGCGATCTTCACCCGCGGAAGTGTCTCTGATCTCAAAGTGAACCTGACAATGACATCATTCTCACTCAAGTGATCATTCAGGACATCCAACAAGCCGTTAATGCGGCTTCGGAAGCACCTCTGTCTGTGATCATCATCGGAATGGGCGAAGGCGATTTCTCATCTTTGCAGAAGATTTCTTCGAGGAAGAAAGATGCGAATGGGAAGCGTGAATGTGTCGAGGTTCTTTTTACCCTTTTTTAAATGGAAATATAATATCTGTTGACCCAGCTTTGAAATCTGAATTTTCAGTTTTTCCAAATGAAGACGTTGCTGAACGGAGCGGAGACGCCGGCGCAAAACAAGTCGAGAATCGCCGAAAGAGCTCTGAGAAACGTTCCGAATCACTTGGTCCATTTCATGCACAATGCCAATATTGCCGCCAAACCACCGATTCAGGTTTCAGATCGACAATATATCGAAATAACTAATTCAAAAGTTTTGTTCGGGCTATTTTGCTTATTGTACAAGAAAAAACAAGTTGACGTTTTTCGGCTGGAAGTTTTTTGGGATTTTTCGTCAGAAAGTTGTTGTGGAAGAGAAAAAGAATGACTGTAAGAAAGGAAATAAGAATTTTTTGAAGTTCAAGTTTCCTATTACTTCTCTTTTTCAATATGATTTGGAAATCAAAAAGAAAAAAAATCAAGATAATTTTTCAGGTGTGCCGGTCCCCACTGTTCCACAGTTCCTCTCTGATTCCTGACAAACCGACGCAATTCTCCTTCGAGCCTGACTTCCCCAATAAGGAGAATCCGATTCCAGCTCTGATGCTTTCGCCGGACCTCTCTCCCAGGCCGAGGCCTGACCGAAGAGGCAGCGATTCTCGTCAGTTTTTTTTTTCTCAGTTAGGCGGCCCCGTGAAGAATCTGTTCCAATAGACAAACCAAAATTGCAGACCGTTTGAAAAAAAAATGGATTCACCCCGGCAAAATTGTTTACCATCACCGGGAAATCTTTTAGTGGCCGCTATAGGGTTTTGACGTTTTTGTGGCCACTATAGTAGTCAAATTAGTGGCCACTTAAGAAGTTAAAAATTAATGGCCACTATAAAGATCTAAGTGCTACTTCTAGACCACTAAAAACTTTAGTGGCCACTTTAGGGGTCAATGGATCCTGCCTCTATAGTGGCCACTAAAAATTTTCCCAGCATTTCAAAATAATATCGCAACTTTTGCTTTGAAGAAGTGGATCTGATGTTTAGAACAAAACAAAACAAAAGTTAGGGAAAACTTGAATATAATTGTGTTCTTTTTCAGAATATTTGGACGTTGAGACGATTCGTGGCGCTCTGACCGTTCGGATACCAGAAAGGGCTCATTCCGTCCTGCAGACGAGCAGAGAGCAGTACCAGCGACGGCTCAAGGAGCGTGGTCTTGCCAGGGTAAACATTTTGAGAACAGTTCGAAATTTTGAAATTCAAGAATAAGGTACAAAAAACTGAGCGAAGCTTGAGAAAGATGCGGAGTGAGGAAAAAATTCTCTAAAAAAAAAGTTGGGTGTACCCGTAGTGTAACCAGGGGCGTGCCCAGTTTAGTTTTTAATTTTCATTAAGTTAGTCTTTTTTTAGTTTTTTTTTTCTACCAAGAAGTAATCTGTAGTTCACTTTTTATAGATTTAACATTTAGAAAGAACTTTTTTTGAACAAAAAAATAATCTCTAACCAGCGGCCAGAAAGTAAACATTTTACTAATTTTTCGATTCAAAGTTATTTCCAGATGAAGTTCCCGCGAGTGGAACTGAGCACATTGGAGTCGAGCGGAGGGTCCACTCAAGACAGTTCAGTCTAACTGAAACAAATAATAACCATAATAAAAAACCATTTCGATTTTTCGTTTCAAAAACTGTCCTTTTTATATTTTTCTCCCTTCTTATTTTATTACACTTTGGCCAAATATTTTTCTCAAATCAATAATTCGTTCACTTCATTCTTGTTTGTATTTATTGCCTGGATAGAAATAAATGTTTTTTTTTCGCTTTTTCTTGAACTGCAGCCAATCTAATTTTTGCAGCAGCAGCCGATTTTCCAGGCAGTTTATTTTCCGAGCCGCCTCTGGAGACCTCCGTCCGTTCAATTACGCTCCTTCGATTCATTTTTCGCCTTTTCCTGCACCTCCCTTGTTTCCCGCCACTTTTTCTCAGTACTTTACTAAAGGTCCAGCAAAGTTCAGTTCATCGAGTGGTTTTGCAAGAATTTCAGTTTTTTCTTCATCTCGGATTAAATTCTAGGATTAGTTTGTTGCATTACAATTGAAAAAAATCATGAAAGGAAAATTGCATCGTCTTTAGAGTTTTTTCAAATAGTCATACCAATAACCAGAGCCAATCACCAGTAGCCCCTGAGGTGAATGGAAAAAAATTTAAGGGAAAAACGAATGGAATATTTTTGTCAAAGAAATAATATAAAAATTATAGTTTTTTTCCAATACTTCGGTTGAAACTCGACTCTGAGAGATGACTATGAATGTACAAAATTTCAAGAATTTTTTTCTGTTTTATTTCAGAGGCCGCATGAACTCGATAGTGTTAACACTAATGTGTCAAAAATACGATTAGTATAAGAAAGCTCACGTATCACGAAAATTCTATCAATCAAAAAGTAGCCAGAGCCGAGGACCAGAAGCTCGGAGGTGCATCTGTTCTCTCCTTCCATTCGTCCAGTGTAACAATCGATGGAAATCGCTATCATTTGGGTCCTATCACACTCAAATTACACGCTCTCTCACGTTTCCCACCAAAAACACTTTTTTTTCTCAGTTTTGTTTACTTTTTTTCTTTGTCTTTTTCTTTGACGCATAAACAATGTGGGAACGGCTGAAGAAAAGGATCGAATTTTCTTTCTTCCTTTTTTTTCTAATGGCCTTTTTGAGATGAAGAAATTCCCCTATTTCTCTTTTTTTTTCTCTTATTTTCTTGATGGGTCAACTTTTTGGATGGAGTTTTGAGCTAGATGATGGAAAATTTGAAAAAAAAAGATAATTTTCGTAAGAGGCTTTTGAGATAGTTTTCGTTTTATTATTATTTGTAAAAAGTTTCGAAAAGTTCAGTTATCGAGTAACGTTTATTAAAAGTTGTTGAAACTGAAAAATGATGATTTTTTTTTAGCCAAGATTGATTTTTTTGAAAAACTTTTTCAAGAGCTCTTCAAAAAAAACTGAAAGAACGTAAAATGTTTACCTTATGAGCTTTTTTTGTCATATTTTATTCTGATAATCTTATATCAAATCATTTTCTGTTACTTGAAAACTGAACTGATATCCCCTTTGCGAATTTACTTTTTTTGTCTATGGACTTACGTTTTTCAAAAAAATTTTTGAAGTCCAGAATAAAAAGTAAATGAAAGTTTTTCGAAACGAGAAATATTATATTTTAATATAGCCTGTGAATAGTCTGTGTGCCACGACTTGAAATTTCCCCGAACGACATTCCGTTGTTCCACTGCGTGCGTTCGCGAAGCGTCTTTCGAATCTAGGTAACGCTTTCAATTGATTGTTATTACTGTGGGAGAGCATGAATGTAGAGTACCTTAATAAAAGAAAAAAAAAATTAAAAGCGCGACCAAGATTCGCAAAGCGCGCAGCGGCACCGCGGAATGTCGTTCCGTGAAATTTCAAGTCTTGGCACACAGACTATATTCCAAGGCATTAACTTGATAACGGCGTCTATGGAAACTCAATCTGAAATTTTTTTAAAAATTCTCTAATTTCCCTTTGATTCTAATCTATCCAAGAAAAAAACTTTTCTTAATGCCCATTTGAAACTTGAGAATTTTCCGAAACAATTTCCAAATCAAGAAGTATTCAATTTTGACTTACTTTCTTTCTCTCAAACTTCTGAAAAAACCTTGATCAATTTAAGCTTTCTTTGGGGAAATGAGCGAGGAGAAGCTTTTCGGCTTTCCGGCATATCCGCCGTTCCGCCCGGGCCAGCCCCGCTTCCCGCAGGAGACCTTCCTCGGCCGCTACCTTCACTACCTCGACGTCATCGATCCGAGGACACTTTTTGCTTCTGACGTTGGGAGAGGATTTTGAAATTGAGATAATGGAGTCCATTTAGAGAAAACTTCAAGAATCGGTGGCGTTGCTGGACGCCTTCAACTCGGGAAAACCTACCAGTTAGTTTTTTTTTTCAAAATAGGTTATCCAATATTTGAAGTCTTTTGAACTCTTAGAGCATTGGCAAGAAAAAATCGGCAAGTCTCAACTTGGGAAGAATTCTAATTTCAAAAATAATTTTTTTACTTGAATGTCTTTTAAAAAAACCTTTGAAGCGTCGGTTTACAAAAATTGATAAAATATGGAGCCTGAGGCTTGCAGGATCTTCAATCCGTTCTCTAAAAGAGATTTGGAGATGTCCGAAATTTACACTTGAATGAACTTCCTTGTTAGAAACTTGTACATATTTGAAAACTCACAAATTCTTCCAACATTCTTTTAAACTTCCCGAATCAGATGCGACAAACCGGGAACTTTGGGAGGCTCAGAAGCTCAAACAGGCCGTGCTTCACCCGGACACCGGAGAAAAAGTCCTGCCGCCTTTCCGAATGAGTGGATTCGTTCCATTCGGTTGGATCACGGTAAAGCTTCTCTTCGAAAAGTAGGTTTTTTCCCAATCGAATTTCAGGTCACCGGAATGTTGCTGCCGAACCCCTCCTGGCCGACTTTGCTTTTCTGGCAGTGGATGAACCAGTCACACAACGCCTGCGTCAATTATGCCAACAGGAATGCTACTCAGGTTGATTTTACCTATTCAATTTCGAAGTTTCGAGCTTTTTCTAGCCTCAACCTTTGTCCAAATACATTGGGGCCTACGCGGTGGCTGTCTCAGCGGCGTGCACTATTTCTGGAGGTACTTAACTTGGATTTGAATGAAAAGACAGGGGGAAAAGTTTGCTTCAAGTTTTTGAATGAATCGAAAAACTGATCAAAACCTTTTTGAAAACCCGTAATTATCAATTTTTCCAGTTTTTTTTTTAAAATCAGATCTGATATATCATTTTTCAGGTTTGACCTACTTCATTAAGAAGGCGTCTTCACTTCCACCAACGACCAGACTTATAATTCAGGTTCGATAAGATTAATTTTCAAGAGAAAGATTTTACAAGAATAACTGAACTTTGCAAGGAGACGTTAAAATGATAAATAGCAGAGATTTTACCAAATACTAAAAAATTCTCCGTCATAGAGCCGTTTATGATAATGAAAATGAAAGTGCAGAAAAAGTATATTGCAAAAAAATGTTCAAAAAGATCCACTACTTAATGTGAAAGAGCTTCTTTTTAACAATTTTTTTCTGGCTTTCAGCTGAATGCATGCAAATTATTAACCTCAAAAAAAAAAAAATAGATTTAAAAAACTTCCAAAAAAACGAACTTAACTCAAGAGATTCGTTCCCTTGCCGGCGACGTCGTTGGCTTCTTCTCTGAACGTCGTCTGCATGCGCGCCAACGAGCTCAAAACCGGCATCGAAGTCTACGAACGAAACGGAACCGTCGTCGGAGTTTCCAAAGTAGCCGCTAAACAGGTTTTGATATATTGAAAAAAATATTTATACCAAACTTGAAGGCGATCACGGACACGACGATGGTTCGAGCCTTCCTTCCTGTGCCGCTTCTCCTCATTCCACCCTGCATTATGCCCATTTTCGAGAAGTGAATCATTTTTTGAGCTTCTTACCTTTAAATTGCGATGCAGAAGACGTTGGGTCACTTCCTCGCCAGTACGACACCTTCTGGTAAACGCCGCCGTGTGCACTCTTTCCTTCGCATTTTCCCTTCCGATCGCTTTAGCCCTATTTCCTCAAGAAAGCGCTGTAAGTTTTGAATATCAAAATTTTGATTATTAGTTTTGACTTACAGATTCCTTTCGATCAACTGGGAGCCCGAACTTCAAGCAAAGACAAGCGAGAAAGAACTTTTTTTATAACAAAGGACTTTAAATTTCTGTAATTGGGTTATAGTTTAAAGAAAAAAAGAGAAAAATTTTAGCGATAAAAAGGCGGCGTTTTTTTTTTCTCAAAAACGCTGTTACGGTACTCTCTCAATGTGCTCAACACGGCGACACACCCAACAATTTGAATAGATTTACGCTTCCTTTTTTAAAAATCATTTCGCGCTGTTTTTGTTGCCGTTTTCAAAGTAATTTTGGTGAGACTCAAAATTAACTCTGACTTTCCAAAATTCAGTTTTCTCTTCCCACTCTCTGACGGCTATTTTGGATTTCGTGGGATCACTTTAAACGCGACATGAACTCTTTTCTATACTCTTCATTTCAATGGAAACCAGTTTGCAATTTTATGAGAAATAATGTTTCGTTTTCCTGGATCCACTTTTTTGTAGCGCATGTTGAATTATTCCGCTCACCCCTTTCATACGAGTTTGATCATATTGTTAACTTCTTTTTGGCATACTTTAAATTTTTCTGTGACATAAAGGGTAATTACTATTTCTATGATGAACAATAGGAACTGGTTTTTTTTTCTCTTTGCAACAAAGAATCTTGGCTATTTCTCGAGTTGCATTCCGATTAAGATTGATTGATAACCAATGGTCGGTTTCTATATAGTCTGTTCAAATTCTCTCGCAGAAGTCTTTGATGACCCGAAAATACATTGAGAGCGTAGCTTCGGACCTTTTTCACTTCGTTTATTTTCCTGCGCACGAAATACGGAAACAGACAATAAATAGTCTACTTTGAAGTACTTATTTGAACAAGGAAAAATGGGAAACTTATTGTGAGTTAAATTTTTTTGATGAAAAAGGAAAATATAACCACGGAAATAGGTAAGCAATTATATTTGTTCTCGGATCTTTTGACAACAACCGCTTGATGGACTGTTTGCGTTTCTCTTTGCTCTCGTGTGGTCCTTCCGTAACGTTGTGAGTGTTCTTATTTAAAAACCCATTCAGAACAATTTTTGACACTATGCAGAGTAATTTTGAAGAAAAGTATAATCAAGAACCACCCTCATATATATTTTCTATGAGATTATTTTTTAGAATTTTCAATAAATACCACAATTTTTTCAAACTGTCTTGCGCTAACTATTCAACGAATTATGTGATTTTTTTGAAATTTTAATTATACTTACTAAATTGATTAAGGTTTTGCGCGTCTTTATTCACGCATTTTGTGCACTGCGTACAGCACAGTGTATCTCCCGCCATTTCTTGACCGCATTTTTTTTCCAATTTCCGGAAAGAATTCCAATTTTCTTGAAAATACCAGTTATCATGAGAAATTTGTGTGTCTAGCAACCTTTAAAAGAAAGCGGCGCCTGACCTGGCTGCAGATGACGTGCGGATCACGGCTCTCCGGTCCGCCCAGCGCTATTTCCCACACTGATAACGTTTTTCTTGGACAGGCGATTATAAAAGGTTGTTTATGTGTTGTGTATCAGGTTTCTGCGATACCGTTTCGATTATCACTGGATCTCGCTTTCTCAATTTAATAACGTTGCCGCCGCCCTTTCATCTCTCAACTTTATTCTCGGTCGCACGCTCCGTTTCGGTGTCTCAAATCAGATTGATAAGGATATATTTCAGTGGGATTTTGATACTTTAATCTATTTAGAAGTTTCAAAATTGTTTTTTTACACAACAACAAAGTTTTTATTATTCCAAAAGAATCTTTTTATTCTTTTCAAATCCTTCACAGATTGAAATCTACTCACGAGCGAGAAAATTCTTGAAAAATTTCAAAATACTACTTGAAATTTTTTTAGCAAGGTTTATGGGGTTCCAAAAATCTTGCGTCTTTCAAAATAAATAAGGTCTTTCGCTTTGGAACCAAAATAAAAAAATCCGAAATCATATTCGAGATGAAACTCACACAAAATTTGAATGAGGTTCCGAATCGAAAGGCCTTTTTTTATTTTTTTATCAAAAAAACTGAAAAATTCTTTTTTTCATTCAATTTCCAAAAAAAGCTTGAAACATCGTTTTCATTTTTTTGTTTACAGAACGGTTTACTCGAGTATTATATGTTTATCTGTTTTTGTTTTTCAGTTTTCAGTGTAATAAACCATTCATCAACGTTTATAAATATAAGGCGACCCCCTAAATTTGGACTTCAATTTTTCTTCATTACTTTGTCTTGTGACATTTTGTGACGACCCAATAATGAAAAACAGTGATTGAATCCGGTTCTGGTCCAATCATTGTTTTGTTTTTTTTTTTCAGGGACGAGTAGACTGTAGGTTTTCCAGCCGACTGGTGCAACCATTTCCCATATTTGTCGGCTTTGTCCGAAAATTCTGGCCGAGGTGTCAAAACGGCCTTTTTGCTCGACTTTTCGGCCCCCGGTTTGCTCTCCGGTTTGTTGCAACATCGATCTGTTCCTTATTTTTCATCTTTTACACCTCTTCAGACTAAAATATTCAGAAACTTGATTTTTTTTTTATTGAAATTGATGAAAAACGGCTTTTTCGTCTCGATATTTTCATCGAATTCTTGAAAGATCCTTTATTTATCCCATTAAGGTCTTTTGATTTTATTATTCTCATGAAAATGGAAGTTTCAGAGTTTGGATTCATCGTTTAAATTTTTTTCGAATTTTTTTGATAAAAAAAAATCATCTTTCAGTTATCCTTACATTGAGATGCTGCTCCTTGAGAAAAAAGATGTGAGTACATTTTTTGGGTTTTTGATGGTCCTTTAACTTTCCCTTAACCTATCTGAAAACTAATCACTATGAAGTTGCATGTTGGGATTTTCCCCTTTCCTAATAGACTATTAAATTTGGAACTTGTAGCAAAATACTTTTCTTAATAAAAATCATCAGTTTTGTTAGATTTTTTTTCTGGTGTCCTTTGGGTTATCTCATAACAGGGAGTTCGAAATGATAAAAGGCTTTTTTTATAAATTCTATCGGACATTTTTGTGTCTTACTATTAATGGAGCTGACTCATAAAAAAAAATTTAAAAAAAACGCTGAAAAATGGAGGAAAACAGGAAACGGATTAATCTTTTGCGCAAAGATTGGAACGGCAAACACAGACTGTCTAAATGACCCTCGTATCAAAAAGGTCGAATAAACTAATTGAAATAACGTAATAGTTGTTTTTCAAATCAAGATAGGGAAAAGTTAAGGGAGGCTAAAGCTTCTATTAAAAATTGTTTTGAAGAAGTAGTATTTTCCTATTTTGAACTTTGATGCTTTTTCCGAAATTCGAAATTTCGCGCGATTTGGAGAAAATTTGTAGCCTCACTCGGAACGAAGTTAGGCAGCCACGGCAGTCACTTGGAGGAGGCCACTTTATACTTTCTCCGCTTTGATTGCTTTGAACTTTTCGAAAATCTTTAGTTTCATTTTGTTTATGCCGTTTTCAAAGTGATTCCGCATAGAATATAATGGAACAGATAACCGAATTTCGCAGAGTCCGAAATAATTTAAAGTTTACTTTTTCGCCGAAAATAGAAACTTAGAACAAGGGATAGTTTTTTTTTTCGAGCCCATCTTTTTCCTTTCTTTTGAAAATTTTTGACCTTCCATCCTTTAAAAAAAAATATTTTTGATTTTTTTTCCTGTCATTATAAGGAAAAAGAGGATCTTTTTGTATAAAAAAAGTCTAGAAGCTCTATGAGGTTTCGAGTTTTTTTTTTGAGAATAGAGAAACTGGATCTTCATTTATCAACTTCTCATCTCACAAAAAAGCAGGAAGGACTCCGATTTTTTTCAAGTCGAATTTTTTTAAATCGTGGTCATTCTGTCCATCCCTCTGAGTCCCTATGATAATTCAGAATATAATTTCCAGAGTTTTTTTAAAAATTATTTTTCTTTCAAGCTTTCTATTAAATCTTTGAGTAGGCCAAAAGTTTTCTCTGCATTTCTGAACTCATTTGAGAAAAACTATGCGAAAATACCATTCTCTGTGATTTTGTAAAGTATGACTATCGCCTTATTTCGATTTCCTCAAAGGTTTTCTTTGATTCTAAAAATTTAATTCACCAATTTCTTTTCAAATCCGCTGATAACTGTTTCAGCGGCCACACAGTAAACCAGACGTTGAAAAAGTTCTTGTTCTGTCCCCTTTTTTCCAGTCAATTACCAGATTTCGAAGTGATTGGTGATCGGTCGACCGACAAATTCTTGCCCTTGGTGTTTTGCGTCGACTGAAAAAGGAGAAGAAGACGGAGAAGGCGTTCCGAAGTTTCAATGCAAAGTCCCACGGGAGCGAATCTTCCAAATCTTCTCCTTTTTTTCTCCTTCTTCGGCTTTTCGTTCCTTCTTTCTCTGGAATCTAATCGAAGAACGATATCGACTTTTATTTGGGTTGGATCGAGATCCTTTTTCTAGAGAATAGAATAATTTTAGATCCTGAAGCCGAGGCTGAAGGTGTAAGGATCTGAATTTTTCATAAAAGGAGCATTAATATTTACTTCTGTGAATAGTAAATAAGTTCATGAACCTGAATCTCACTTTTCATCTTCACAGACTTTCCCTTTTCCGCAAAATGTTCATTTTTTCGAAGTCCTAGACCCATTTTCCTTTCATTTCTTGTGAAAAGTAAAGGTTCTCATTCACCCATCCATTTATTGAGTAGTTTTCATTGAAAATTTTGCCTTTTCCTGTCTTCTCATCTAGTTTTGAAGCTAACTTTTATTTTAAATGGGACAAATTTCCCATTAAAGATGAACCGCTTGGTCGCCGGACTGAGGTGACCGTGATCAGTCGTCTTTTTCCTCTTTGCGAATGGTCAAGAATTTGAAGAATTGCAACCTGTTTTTTTAACTTTTTTTGGTTTGTGTTTTTCTTTGAGGAAGTGCTAAAACTCAAACAAAAAAACTGCTTTGAAAATAGTTTTCAAAACGCGAAGTAAGCTTCGAAGCAAAATTTTTGAAGTAGTCTCTTTTCTAACTAGTAAATTTAAGTCAACATAAGATTCATTATGTTACAAAAATAAAGAAATTTAGGAATCTTGAATGATAAAATAACTTTCAAAAAGTCTCAATCGACTTTATCCGTGGTCGCATTTGAAACTGTTGTGTTGAAAAATATCAGTCCAAAATAAACTTGGAACTATACGATCTCTTTGGGAAAAGTTTTAAGAAGCCTCTTTAGGGTTTTGATGCATCAGTGGCGAATATAGTAGTCGAATTAGTGCTCTCTCTAGTGGCTAAAATTTAGTGGCCACTTTAGACGTCTGATTGGTGTTTCTAGTCGAATAAGAGGGTTAGAGGTCACTTTAGGGGTCGATAAACCATAACTGATTCAATCAACTTCATTTCGAAACTATCACAGTCAACTCGCGAAAGGGGATATTGGTCTGTTTAATTCTTTCAACAGACTACTTCCTTTTTTCAGACTGCAAAAAAACAATATGATTGAAATTCCAGGTTTCCTTTTTTTTCCATTTTTTCCGTTAAAACTCCTTTCAACTTGCAAAAATCCTGTTTAATCCTTGGTGAATGAAACAATAAATAAAGAATTATTTTTCTGATAATAGTATCAGATTTAGTTTCAAACTGTCGCCACTTTGTTGTTTTGCTTGGTTGCTGTTTTTGCGCGTGCTGGGAATGGTTTATAGTTTTCTCTTTTTTTCGTTCTTGAATACTATTGGTTCTTTGTCAATTGACCACTTCTCCTTTCTTTGTTTTCATCAGACATCAGTCTTCAGAATTTAGACGGAGAATTTCGGTCGCGTCTTCGAAATAAAAAAATCACGCGAACTATCATGAAATCGGCTGAAACACACTATTTCAGTGGGTTCTCCTTGTTTGTCGCGGAAATTCCTAGGTAATTCATCAACTTTCTGATCGCTTCGGGTCTGGAATACCGTCTTTTTTGGTGTCGATTTTTGATTCGTCTGATTCTTGTGATTTCTTGCAGAGGAAAGATACGGTACCCGGCTACTCAAAACAAGGTTTTTGGAAGGTTTTTGAACCAAAGTGTAGTAAGCTAATCTCAAAACAAAAAATTAGTGAATTTTTTTGAGGTTTATTATGTCAATCGCTTCTGGACCTTTATTTGATGCCGTTAAAAAAAGCTAGTTTTTTTGGGTATTGAGATTTAAAAAAAGAAAAAAATTCTCATGAAACATGAATTTTCAGCTTTCACTGGCCACGCTACGTAGAGAAAAAAAGTTTTGCTGTTAGCAAATTTTTTTCGAAACATTCACCGAAGTAAAAAAAGAAATTAATCAAGAGAAATTTTCTCTGGAATTAGATAATCTGCAAAAAAAGTACAATAAAAAGTTTTCAAGAAGGTTATGGAAAAAAAATGTCTCGTTTTACAAACATTTCGGTCGATTTAAGATCATTTTCTAATGTTTTTACAACCGCAGATATGAAAACATGCTGGAAAAAGGCTCTTTACATTGAAAATTTCCATCTAAACTCTCTGAATCATCAATATTCCCATAGAATCACCAAAAAGGTTTCTCGAAATTGACTTGATCGGATCTTCTCATTTTTCCGTGTCTTGTCACGAATGTTTGCCATTTTCTTACGGTTTAGAGATCATTTTGCGATCGAATTCGCTTGCCATTTTATTTGAGATTAACAGTTACTGTATACTTTGCGTCGACTTTAGGTATTATCGTATGAATCATTAATTAGTATAAAACAAGGGTCAAAAGTTTCCATTTCATGTTCTCTTCTTCGACATATACTTTATTCTATTTTCGACCTTTTATAGCGATCCTAAATAAAGGCTCAGAAATTTCCGAAGAGTGTTATCAAAAAAATCCCAAAGCGATAACGATTTCTTTTCCGTGGGTGGCGCGAAAATGATATGTACGTTTTTGGGAATGACCAGTGGCTTCACGGCTTTTCATTTTTGTCCATTCTAATAAATTTCATCACTGGATAAGTTTTAAAGGAGTGCTATACATGGTTAGAATTTTTTTTGAGGCCAGTCTCCTTCTAGGCCTTTAAAAAGTTAGTACTACCTCCTTGGGGTTGAGAGTGATTTTTAATTAGTCAACGCTACCTTCTGAAGTTCAAAATTGAATTTAGTCCTTGTTTTACGAAACTTTTTCAAGCCTAACACTTTCTCCAGGACCTGTTGAGCTCTTCCCTTGCCCACATATGTGGAGAACCAAATTTGACCTGAAGGAGACTTTTAAAAATTTCAAAGCTCATTCGGAACCTTCTGAAATTGAGTTCAACAAAAAAAGTATTGATAGATTTTAAAAGTTTTAATATTTTTAAATCGCCTTATTTTGAACCCTAGAAGCATTTTTTTGTTTTCATAATCACTTTTCTATTCCACCCATTCTGACCGGAAAATAAAATTGAAAAGCGTAGTGAGAGTTTTTCAAAAACAGTCAAAAAACAGAAATTTTCGACGCATTTTTAGTTCTATCATCAACGCATGTGTGTCATCAGCATGATTTGCGTGATTTTTTCTTCTGAAAAATCTTTTTTCAACTCATTATTACTAACTGATACTCTTGAAAGTAGCCTCAAGAGCGAAGACTGTGTAAGAATCTTTTAATAACGAATAAAGAATATCAATCGAAAAAGTTGCATTACATCATTTAATAAAAAATAATGAGAATGTTTTTCTACTTCTTCAGCTCCTTTTGAGGGTCAAAAAAAAATTTTCCGATTCCCCTGTGTACAGCGGGAAATTCTCAATATTTTCAAACTTCTTGAACCTTCCGATTCTCCTTCTGCTAATCAACACCACGCATGTTTGTATTCTCACTAACTTCCTTATTTCGCCACCTTCTCCGCTTTTCTATCGGTCGATTCTTTTTCACATCCATTTCATCACAAGAATCACATTTTTTGTCATTCAGACTCCGCGTTTCCCACATCGGATGCCCTCTATATCCATACACATCCTCTCGATAGCTCTCTGCATATCGGCGGGATTCCAACAAGGCTACATCGCTTCCGTCCTCAATCAGCCCTACAAACAGATCCAGCAGTACATAAATGAGTCTTGGGTCGAGAGAACCGGCGAGAACATTCCCGAACACACTTTGGTCAGTTTCCGAAAGGACTGAAAATACGAGGGTCAAGAAAATCGCTTGAAATTGAATCTATTTTGCTTGTGTTTTGCTCTCCTTTCTGAGAATTTCCGTCACGCTTTTAGAATTGACTAGACAGAAATGAAAAATTTGAAAAGGCCAAAAATGGCTGTCAGAAATTTCTTTCTTTGAAATATACATCTAAAAAGGATCGTTAAGATGCACTTTTCCGTTTCTTCTGAGCCATTTTTGTGGCTTTTCGAATAAGAATAATTATATCAAAGGTTACAAAGTGGCTCTATAACAAAATAGCTTCAGAAAAAAAACGTGACCCAATTTTATGTGCGCTCCATGGATAAATCGACAATTTCTCAGATTTTCACTTTTTTTAAGTAATCACACCCGAATTCTTGCAGACATGAATAATATATCTAGTTTTTTTTTCAAGTCTTCGAACATTTTTTTAAAGTTTTTTTTCTCGTTTGTGAGTCTTAATTTCTGATATCTTTGTTCGGAGTTGACCTGAGTCTATTTTCTATTTTTTCCAACGAATTCAGATGTTAATTTTGAAAAATTAATAGTCAAAAAGAAGTAGTTGAGATGCTCAGGATTTCCTATTAAAAAAAAACCCACAGCATTTTTCTCGAACTATCGAAAAAATCTTAAGTTTTTAGCTGAAAGAAATCCTTTCTGTCTTTCTTTTCGAAAATGGTATTTTAGTATCTGCTATGGTCGCTTCTGAACGTCTGCTTCCCGATCGCCACGATTTTCGGCCAATTTCTAGCCGCCGTCATGTGCAAAAGATTGGGCCGGAAAAAGACGGCTCTCCTCGCCTCAGCTGCATATGTAAGCAATGGCTTATCCATTTTGAGTATTTCAGATTTTTTTCAGATCCCTGGTGTTTTAATAACCGCCGCCGCCAAATGGCTCAGTCCCGCCTTTGAGCTTTTATTCATCGGTAGAATTATTTGGTAAGGGAATTATATGGTGATTTCTATTATTCCAAAAAAAACAAAAGAATTTGTCAAAATTTTCAAGTATTCAAATTGACTCAACAACAAACTTTTTCTAAAAATGATCTGCCTTGGGGCAATACCATTTTTTAATGTATCTTTGAAGCAGAAAAGTGATATAGCTGATTCACGACTGGCTTGAGCCATCGAGAAAAGGGTCCTGCCACGAAAAGAGACGAGACAGTGCCCTGGTTGGTGAAGAGTGCAGACAGACCACGCCTTTTTGCGTCCCAAGCTAGCCGTGAATCGTCTATACTTGAATATTTCACGATTTCTGTGCTTTCTGTCTATTGAGTTTGTGTTGATACTTGAAAATCTCAGTTTGAAAGTTTGAAAGTTTTATTCAGTCTTCAGAGTAGGTTCTCTGCTGAATCATGGAATAATTGAAGAGTTGTTTGTCGGTTCGCGATAATGTCGTTGATCAAGCGTAGACGGCGCGTAGAGCATCTCGCCTCTCTTGTGCTAGTAGTAGACGTTTTTCGAGCGTTTCCGACGATTACTGCTTCTCCATGTAGGAACAGTACGGCGCCCAGCTTGTCCAGGGCTGAGGGGCGTCGGATTGAATCTAGGACGAGAGCGGAAATGAAGACCGACCACTCGGGTGGTAGAAATGAGAAAATCTCAGTGCTACAAAATTATATATTTATTTTAAAATTGCAGAAAATATGTTCCAAAATACTTCCCACCGGCCGTGTTCTTTGTAACAAGCGAACTTCAAAAATTCTTAGATCTGTTCAATGATCTTTTATGACCTCGAACAACACAGAGAGATCACTAGTCGCCACGAAATTTTTCTTTCTAACCTTGGTCTATGCTCCTTTAAACGTTTTAACGATAACATACTGTAGTTACTGTTCAAGAAGAAAATAATAAAGTTGAACTTCAGGGCGACTGCGAATGGAATCAATTCAGTGAACGCCACGGTTTGGATCGTCGAATGCGCTCCACCGCAAATCCGAGGAAGAATGGCCGCCATGCAGGAGTTTTTCATGGCTATAGGCGAGTTTGAAGCAGCCGGAATCTGAAAACATCTACAAAAAGATAAAATCAATCTAATAAGGATTTTTTTGAACTTTTAAGGAAACTTGGCTGCATATTTTAGGGCTTCCTATTCTAGAACAACAAAAAATGTATCGCATTATATTTATTTTCTAGAGTTTTTCAGAGTTAGCTCTAACGTACACTTCAGCCAATTTTCTATAAAAGTTCACCTGGGAGCTAGAAAATTTCTCTTGTAAGCTTTTGCTTGTTAGATAGGGTTCTTAAAAATCACAAAGTACCTTAATCCAATGGAAACAGCTCTTAAAAAGACTTTTCGTTCAGCTCCTCAGAGAAAGCTTCCATTTTCAAACGACGAAAAGAAGAAAATAGAGACGTTTTCAGGCTCCCTGATGACCCAGGCGATCGGTGTGCCGTTCGCCTCGGACGAACTGTGGCCGATGATGTTCCTGCCGAACATTCCGGTGGTCGTCGCCTCCCTGGTGCTCTTCTCGTTCGTCTACGAGTCGCCGCAGTACATCATGGAGGTGGAGAACAACCCGGAGAAGGCCCGACTCGCCCTGGCCGCCTACCACGGCGTCGCCGTGGACGACGCCTCCGTCGACGCCGAGATGCGCATCTGCGAAGAGTCCGTCTGCAAGGAGACCAGCAAATCCAAGGTTCGCGGCGTTTCAGTGACTTTTGGAGCTGAAAAAAAGGGAATTTTTTAGTTAGGTCTTTTTTTGACAAGAGTCTAAACGTTAAAATTTGATCAATAAGCCTCTTGCCTATTTAATGAATACAGTGCGAGGTTCAAGGCTATAGAAATTCGGATTTAGAACAGGTTTGAAAAATTGAAGTTTTTTTCGTTTCTTCGATAAAAAAAGGGAAACGATTTAAAAAAATTTTTGAACACAGCTTTGATGAAATTTTTTTATCAGAAAAAAAAAAAAAATGAAACGCAAAGTTTTTTTAGAAAAAAATGAAAAATCTCTCTTTCTTTGTAGGTAGAACTTGGCGAAATTTCCGATTTTTTTGGTCCTTCCTAATGTATTTTTTTATCATTATCCCACGTTTCATACTGCTTATCTAACAAAAAAATATTTGAGAATTCCTCCTGAGGATCATCAAAAAGTTATTTTCAATCGTTTTGGTATTACAAAGAAGTTCTGATTTCCTCTTTTATTCTACAAATTTTTTTTTTTGTAAAATTTGTTTCTATCCTCCATTGAAGTTTTGCGTACGTGCTGCTAAAAATCAAAAAGACCGAAAATTGATCTTTTTTTTAACCCAGACCTCTTTTCAGGCCGCCAAAAGCGGATTCCAAAGCGAGTACAGCGGCGTCGACATCATTTTCAAGCCCTGGAAAGCGACCGACGAGATTTCGAAGGTCGTCAGGGAGGCCGCCTGGCTGGGAGTCATGGTCAAGGTGATCATAACCACTTTGGGAATTCTTCTGATGAGGAAAATCTTAGATCGCCTACGTTTTCACCGGCGCCCGGGCTCTTCGGACTTTCAGCACCTTTATTCTTCACGACATGTCCCACTACAGCTTGGAAAAGGCCACCTGGCTCTCTTTTATTACAGGTATAGGATTGAAATCACGAAAAAAGTCATGGGAATCCAGTTTCGTTTCACGGTTTATTATAAGGTTTCCATACAGTTATTACAGTAATTTACGGAATGAAAAAGACCCAGACTACAGTAGTTTTTCCTTATTTTATCCACTTCCTCCCTTTTTAGGGCCCTTTTTTGATTCTTAGCTTACTTTTCAAACTTCTTGAAAAGTCGGACATGTTAGTTAGAGTGTAGTAAACTCAATTTTGAGCTCATCCATCTCGTTTCAAAATACGGAAATTTTTTCTCACCTTCATCCACTTTTTTCTTTTTTTCGTTATGACCCTTTTCTGAAATAATTTCTAATTTAACAATTCTTTCGAAGCTTGACGTTGACTTGAGTATTTTTAATCTGTTCAGAATTCAAATTTCAAGTTTTCGCTCAAGAGAGCAAACCATCCACGGAGCGTTTTAAAATGACGTCATTTTTCTTGACATCAGAACCCTAAACAGACTATATATAGTCAACTCAGTTTTGCCGTTTTATATCACCATTTGTTGAATCAGTTAGAGATTTTATCGCCGTTATCCCCTATTCTTGTACAACTTTCCTATTCTGGATCCCGTTCAGGACTTCTCCGTGTACCTGTGACCTTGGTGCCGGTATTCCTGGTCGATCGTCTAGGACGTCGTCCCTTGATGATCTCCTCGACTGTCATCTCGCTTATTTCCCTCGTCGCCATGCTCGTTTGCGTTGATTTGGGAGAGAATTATAAGGTTTGTGTGATTTGGATGTTATTTTTCCTGGAAAAAAGTTAGCTTATAAGTAGAAGCTTTTGGCATCTAAAATAGAGGAACAACTAATCAAAGCAAAAAGAAAATCATATTGGAAAGATCATCCAAAACCCTTTTTTTTTTTTAAATTCATTAATCTGAGCAGGTTTTATTTATCAATAGAGAGCTTTCTATTGTTTTTTTTTTAATGGATTCCTAAGAATGTGCCGAAATTTAAAGTTGAAATCCATTTTCTGACCGAAACTTTCTGAAATATTTAAAGTTTCAATAAGAAAATGTTATCAACACCTACTAATCGCCAGAACTTCTCCAGTTCTCGAAAAATATGAGTCTGGAAACTGTAAAGGAATGCAAAGACTCCTTCAGGTCGGCACTTTCGCCGGTCTAACGACGTTGCTTCTGATCAACGCCTGCGGCATCGGCTCCGTGTCGCGGTTCTACGCGGCGGAACTCGTCCCACGTCATCTGCTGCTGTCCTCCGTGTCGGTCCTCACCATGGTCGAGGCCGTCACGAAGATTCTCGTCGAGTTCTTCTTCTACCCCCTTGCCAATTTGGTTTATCCGCATCCCTTCGAAACTCTCATCAATGACTTTTTCTTCAGATTGGCGGGCAATCCTTCTTGATTTTCATCGTTCCCACGGCCATTTTCATGGTCATCATGTACGCTCTTTGTCCTGAAACGAGTAGGAGAACCGTCAACGAGGTAACTATTCTTGAGGAGAAAAATCTAACCATTGAAACTTAGGTTCTTAACGAAATCGCCCAGCGAAAGAAGCTCAAAGTTTCCCTCCCGATGTAAAATTGAAAGCCAAAAAAGAAACAAGGACACGGGTACGAATCGTGCTCGACGCAATCAAAACGAAACGAAATCATTTTGCTGAATATTATTATATTGTTTTTTCTCTATTATTGAATCAGTTTTCCTCTATTAACTTCATAATTAACTCCTTAGAGAATCTATAGCTTGTTTCATTCCGACTAATACTTTGCATTATCTACGGGTACCTTTTTTCCCATTTTCTCCGAAGCTTCTACGAAACAGTAAAAGTTATTTCGAGTCCATGAAAGAAACAAAAATTCATAACAAAGACATTTGAAAGAAGAAAAAAATCGACGATTACTGATCTTTGAGGGACGAAAACAACAACCGACGGAACAGAGTATCAATTAAGGTGTTTAGATGAGGGGATAAATAGAACAGGATTTTTTTTTCTTTTTAATTTCGAACATGACACTCAACCAATGAGACCGAAGAGGTACAATAAAAATACCCGAAGAAAAATTTGCGCGATTCACAACGGGGGATGCAAAAGATAACACGAAAAGAGGCAGTTTGGTGTAGTATCTGTCCACTTTTTGGCTCTCGATGCAACCCTCGACGAAATAATAATTCGGCATTTTCTTCTCGGAATTTCGGTGGGTTGAGAGTTCACGTACACATATAGGCTTGATGGATAAATAAAAAATGATAAGATCCAAAATCATGAGAAACATTTCTAAAAAAAACAGATAAATTAACATGTAACAAAGTTTGAAGTCGATGCCATAATCAATGATGAAACAAACTGGGATTTATTCTTCCATTTCCTCGACGAAATTGCCGTTACTGAAAAAAAGATAGGATTTAAAAACGGTTTTCGAAAATGGAAAAAAAAACCTCGCGCCATCGGATCCAAGAGCGAGATCGAGCTGTCGGTTCCAACCCTGAAAAATAATTTTTTTAATTTGTCAATACAACTTTTTCTGGATTTCTCTATTTTTTTAAAAATACATTCTCTGAAATTTCGAAAAACTCTTGGTACAAAATTTCTATTGGTTTCTCGGGGCTCCTTGTGTTATCTCAGGTTCCACACAACCTCTAACTCATAACACCTGGTTTTATAGGCTCCGCCGAATTCCGGGGTTATGGTAGAAACCAAAAGTTTTTTTCCAAGAAGTAGATTCAGATTTTACTGAATAAGATTTCCCTTCAACGCTTACCTTTTCTGGAACTCGTCCAGACGCCAGAATCGATTGTAAATAGTTGATCTCGGCCAAAGAACTCGTATTTTGAATGGCTTCCTGTAAAAAAAGATCATTAGAAAAACTTTGTTTTTATTGGTCCTTTTTTGCAGCCAAGTGACTTCGGGGTACCAATAAGAATATTTGATTTCAAAAAAACAATGGAAAAAAATTCACTTATTTGGTCAATAACATATGAAATAACTTCATGTTTTAATACGATAATTTCAAGAAATGAAGCTATTTTAATGAATTTCGAAACAACAATCGACATCTGAATGAAAACAAAGATTTTTTCGGAAGAAAAAGTGATTTGCTGTTTGGATGGGAGCCAGTTGGAAAAAAAATATAATGGAAAATAGAAAAAAAAATTTTAAAAAAACTTATGAGATCTCATTTTTAGCTTTCGTGAGCGTTCAAAAAGGCCAAAAAAAAATTTCCAAGAAGAAATTCATTTTTTCCCTTAATTCGTGCTTTTTTAAATGAAAAAGAAAATGCATGACCTTGAATCGCATTGAAATATCAGTTATAAACGGCTGCATTTTTCATGAATAATTTTTTTATCTTTGAGTTTTCACAGTTCTATCGCAAAAAATGAATAAAAAACGTGTGCTTGGTCTCAATAGAGCTTTTCGAAAATGTTTCAAAACTCACAAGAAAACAAATTAAACGGAATGATTCAGTTGCAGAACTGTTTGTGGCGATCAAGAAGAACGAACCTTGATTTTGGCGCGGTCGAGGTCCGTGAGCTGTTGGCCGGCGTTGTCGTTCTCCTTGCCCGTGTCGACGGGAACTGCGCTCCGTTGGATCGCCTCGCGAGCCTTTTTCCCGGATTTCCCCTTGAACATCTCTTTCGCCGCTTTTCTTTCCTACAATCCATGCCTTCTTACGATCACCATCGATCAACCAAACCGCCATTTTCACACGACGAAAATCGATAACTCGAACTGAAGGCAATTTGTAGATCACATAAAGACGGTAGTTCTCCTTGTGTGTGATTGGGTTTCCGATGAAACTGAAAAGATTCTTTTGAGGTTATACTTTGATGTGAGGGTTTTCGTTCCAAAAATGAGAATAATTTGAAAAATATAAAAAAATTTAACCTTCTCGATAAAAAAAGGGTAATCTATAATTAATAAGTTGAAAATTATCTGTAATTGAAAATTTCAAACGATATGACTAAAACGACAAGGCAAGTTAAAAAAAATCTTTCAATTCTAGGAAAATTACAAGGAATAATCCTGTTAATTAGCGATTTTAATGGTAATTCTGATGGCTGAAGCAGAAAGAAGCAGAAAAAAAGGAAGTTTTGATTATGAATCTTTGAGTAATTTCTAAAAATTCAATAAACTTATTTTTACCTTCCCAACACAATTTTTTTCTCAAAAACTACTCGTTTTTTTCCGAATTTCGCTTTCAAAATAAAGCATTTTTTGTACGTTTTTTTCTCTGGCCCCCAGAAAAATAATTCGAGCCAGTTTTAGAACCTTCTCCTCGAAAAAAATTAATTTTGTCCACAATTTCTCTATTTCATAAAACTATTCACCCCGATGAATATTTGAACAAGAAATCAAAACGAACGTGACATATTCGAGATTTTTGCAGGAGGTCAAAGCGTCGATGTCTCCCAACTCGCAAATATTATTGTTCGTCAGGGCGATCGTCTTCAGGTTCGGCAATTTTTCGCCGAGATCCGGAGCGAAATAACTGAAATTGTCGATTCATTAGGAATCTTCACAAAAAAAGAATATTACTGGACGCGATTGTTGTGCAGGTAAAGTGTGCCGAGACGCTTCAGAAACGGGAAATTCTCCACTTTTCTGATGTCGTTGTCTGACAAATCGACCAAATCAAACTGATCCTGAATCAAAGAAGTTTTATAAGGTTTATTTTCATCATCGATTAACAGAAAGTTCTTCAAAATCTTCAAAAACCACAAAAATGACACTGAATCGTGACCTTTGAATTTGAAAAAAAAATTTGAAGGATTTTCATAGAAAAATAAATAAGTTCTGAAATTTTAAAAATTTACTGAAAATAGGCGAATGAAATAAATTTTAAATTGAAGAAAAAAAGTTTTCTTCAATCCCTAAAATTTCAAATATCCCGTATTTTTTTTCGTTTATTTCTATTTTTTTGAGACGGCTCAGACCTTTGTAACAAGAACCGTAAATCCGGAAAATCCCAGGGATCACTTAAGAGTACTGAAACTACTCCAGTGGTCACTAGAAATGCACAGAAGCGTCCGATTCACGTTTCCAAGGCTCGAGCGAATTTGAAAATTTTGATCAGAGCGGCACAACAAATGAATGTTTCTAACCGCACATTCCAATGAATATACCTAATTGGAAACCGTTAGGTGATGTTTTTCGAGATTTATCGAAAGAATCATAAAATTTTCTAAGTGAAACTATTTTCTTAGCGGTATTTCAAGCCTCAAAAGAAAAAATGTGGCCTAGCTCTAGAAAACCGTTTATGCAATGGAAAAGGATCGAACCCTGGTGATTCCCATGTTCTCAATGACCGGAATTTTGAGTCCTCGCAGGTTCAATTCTCGCTGATTGAGCGTGTTGACGTACTGAGGCGCCTCCGACAGAACTTCCGACGATAAACGGACCATGGCTGAATCAAAATAAAATAAGGTTTTCGGAAAAATGACAGCAATACTCCACACGGCTCTCATGACCATGAAAAATAAATGGAAAAAAGAATTATTTGAAAAAAAAATTATTTATTGATGACACGGGACAAATATACAACAAGTTATACATGTGATGGTAAATTACAAAAATATAAATTAAATAAAAAAATTATATACAGCTATTCTCGAGGGAAAGTGAGACGATGAAATCAAAAAAAACTTTTTTATTTCGATAAATGAGCAATTTTTTTCGTAAAAAGAACAATGGGGAGGGAGAAATCTTGAAACAAACTAGACTTTGGAAGTATTTATCAATATTTAAACTTAAAAAAACTTGAAAACGGCTTTTTCCCTCAGAGACCTTACTGAATTATCTTTGCTCTTTTTGGAAATCGTGAAAAATTTTTTTAACACAAATCGAAAAAAACCTAATTCGATTGGTTTTTTTCTCGATAAATTTTCATCGATGGAGAGTCAAAAAAGAGATAGAGATCAAAATGAACATGAAGAGGCAAAATGGGAGCCATTGTTGAAGGATCGAACCCAATCTGAAAGAACATTTTAAAATATGAAAACTGGATATTTCAAACCCCAAATGAGATCCTTTGAACAGGATGAAGGAAGCGAGGTTCACCATGTTCCAATTTCTCGAACCGTCGTATTTCATCAAGTTTAACGCCATGGCGACGTGTGAATGGCAGTTGTCGCAAATCAAGTTGTGCTGTGCTTTTGGTGGTTTTAGAAAGAAAAAAGACAGGCCAGATTCCAGTTCGAAAATCTTACATAAAGCTCTTTGCGCATAATTTTATTTTGAAAGATCCAGCTTTTCGGGTCAAAAAAAAAACCTCAGTGAAACTGCAAAAAATTTTCGCTGTAAATCTTTTTTCTTTCAAATATTACTTTCTTTAAATTTTTTTATGTAGAACAGGAAGCGCTGAAACGTAAGAAACCTGGAACTTCTAAATAAAAACTAAATATTCGTAGAAAAAAATAAACTTTTTATTTTAAATTTGAAAAAAACTATGAGAAAGTTAGAGGTCCCAGAACTACTCTGAAAGCTTAGACAAAAAGGGTTTATCCCAGATAAATCTTGAATTTTGTTTAGAAATCTAAGTGAACTCGTAAGCTTTGAGTTTAAGTTATTCTTCTGAAGAAACGACATTTCCAAAAATTGATTCAAAACCAACCGTACGACATTTGTATTCGTCCGAAGCCTCACAAATTGCGCGATCGTAAGCTTCTGCGCCTCCCTGAAACAAAATTGATTTTGAAGAATATTAAGCAAAGAAAATACCTCGACTTTACTTGGAGACAACTGCCAATACTTTGTAGGCCAACCAAATCCCATATTGTCTTCCTGAATAATGTTTCCATAAGTTTATTTATTACAAAATAATCAACTCACACTGACGTAATTGCTCGCCGCAAAGTCGCGAACAACTCCCCGGCTTGTTGCGATTCCCATATGACCAACAAATGGAAAGAACCATCTGAAAATAAATATTCTTCCAGGTATCATTATTTAAAACCGACGTTAAACATGGAATCGGCGTCCAAACAATGCAAAAAGGAAATCGATGCCGTTCAGGATCAATTTGAGCTTCGCTCAGCCCTGACATTTCCGAATGAAGGACGGGATCCAGATTTAGCTCTACTGAAATAAATCTGTTTTTTTATATTAAAATTTAGATTGAAAAAAACAACAAAAAAATCTTCCGAAATGGTAAATTAGAAAAAAAGCTAGAATTATTGCAGGAAAGCGAAATCTACAAGAAAAACAATTAGAAATGAACTTTTTAGAAAATAATCCTTGAACTTCTGAGCTTAGTAGAAATGGTTACCAATTTTACTTTTGGTATGACCACAAGTAAGAAAGGAAGAATGAACAGTCAATTATTAAAAAATGGGGGAGCAAAATAAACTTTAATAGATACCGATAGGCACACAGAATCTTCTCAATACTTCAAAATGAACACAAAGCTTTCACTAAATATATTGAGCGTTATAAAAAAATGAAAAGTTCGAAAAAAATAAAAAGAAAAATAAAAAAAGGAACTGCAATTTTCAAAACTGCCGCACAGCTTTGTGGGCGTGGTCAACCTCGCATCGCTGCCGCATACTTTTTGTAGAATGCGGAAAAATTCTAAAATTTTGAACTCGAAATTTAATTCAATGAAAATGCATTAAAACCTTTGAAAATGCATTAAAAGTTTATCGCTAGTGAATCCAGAAGATAAACAAAATTGACGTAACGTGATGAATATAAAGCGAATTTTGCGTTTATTTCAACCCATTCGCAGAGATGGCAGCGACGAAGGCTAAGGAAGATGTCTGGGCTTTCCAGGTTCGTTGGAAATAAGTGGGGTTGAAAAAAAAAGAACGGCTGCAGCCGATCGGAGCTCCTTTTCCGGAGGCGCCGGTCCGAGTTCCCAACCAGCAGAACATGTACGTGGCGCTGTGGTACAAACACGGCAAGCCAGTTCACGGCCGGGCTTGGAACAACGACGGCGTCGTCGAGTGCTCTTTCCCCTTCAACACAGCTGAGCTGACCGGAAAGAAGGACCTCGGAGGCCAGATCCAAATACTGCAATATAAGGGCGACTACAACTCTTTGGGATACTGGTTAGTGTCTTGTATCTGTGGAGAATCCTCTTTTAGAAATCCCACTGTGAACTGAGACTATTTCCTGATGAGTAGTGTAGGCCTGAAACTTGTAAAAAAGGACAATGTCAAATAATTGTTTTCAGGTACGAATGGTTGCCTTTGAGCCGACGTCTTGACGGCGGAAACGTTCGAGAACTTGTGCGATGCGGGAATTCGACGCCCGTTCTGGCCAAACTTGCCGACGGCTCCGAGAAAATCGGCTTCCTTGACCTGAGCACCGAGGTCGCTCTCATCTCCATCAACGGCAAGACGGAGAAGTTCGAAGGCGCGCAGACGGCCAATCTCCTGGGAATCTACCGCAACCTGTTCCCTCCGCCGACCGGCCTCAAGGTCTACGACGACCTCTGGTACGACCTGCGCTACAACGACAACTTCCCGAAGAACGCGGTGCCGGCGGACGGACGCCAACTCGCCACGGAGACTGGTCCCATGTTCCAATACGTCGGCTTGTGGTACAAACACGGCGATCCGCTTTTCGGCCGCGCCTATCCTGACCACGCCGGAAAGGTTTCCGTATCTCCGAAATTTTGAAAAAAATCAGTTATCATCAAATTCAAATGAATAGGACTAGCATATATTCATGTATCGCTATAAGAATCAAAGAAATTGTGAAATCTAAATTTCTGCAGTTTTCAAAGTCAAAGAAATTTTCCATTTCATATACTCCACTAACCCGCAGAAAACCCCATTTTCTATATAAAAAACTTCAGACGAAAGCTCACTTTGGCAAAAATAACCAAGAAAACTCGGGACCTGAGATCGGCTCTATGCAACTTTTGACAGTGCCGGAAGCCTCTTGCGTAAGTTTCGGAGATATTTGAAAATAGTCGATAGAGAAAACAACAGATGGGTCTGGAATACAAGTGGATGACGTTGAGCGAGGGAAAAGCCAGCGGCTGGACGGCGGTCCACGTCGGATCCGCGGCTCCGTGCATCCTGAAGGACGAGAAAGGCCTGGAGGTGCTCGGAAACCTCGACCTAAGCACGGAGCGAGCTTCTGCCGGCTACGGCGGCAAGGAGAAGGTCATCCAGGGAGCTCCGGTCGCTCAGCTCAAGGTGCTCTTCAAGAGAAGGATTGCTTGAAGCTCGTCTACAAACAGACTTGGTGAAAATATAAAAACATTCCTCGAAAGTCCCTTTTTGTCAATTTCAACAACGCATCTCTGAAACAAAACATCAAAAGTTGTGTGGCTTCAAAATTGGAGATAATTGAAAAACTGCGAAATTTGCATGTGACACGTTTTAAAGTCGTATGACCACTTTCCGATTTCTTTCATCCCTTATTTACGGCCTCGACTTGAAAATAGCTTTGTTGAATGTCTTGCTCTGGCTTCCCCGAGGGGCTAACGGCTACAAAAGGCGCGATACAAATCGGAAACCCACGCAACACTTGTCTTGGTTGTACTTTTCGCGCTTCTCGAATGGAATTACTAAAAATGGATGTTCTGTAGTTTGAAGAATTCCCGAGAAATCGAGAAATTGAGGCGGGTTTTGAGTCTTTTATGACGCCATAGGAAGGTCAGAACAGGTTAGAAGGGCCATTTGAGCCGCCGATGAGCCATTCTTCGCGGCTCGGATGTCGTTCGTTCGAATGTTACTCAAATGTCTTTTCTTGTTGCGCAACTCACATTTTAGAACTAAATATAAAAATATTCGCTCTTGAAGTTTCGAAACCTGATGCGAGTTCGGAAAATGAGTATTTCGAAATTGAAGGAAAATATGAAATAATAACTCTGGAAGGTTATTTAGTCCCATTTTTTTAAACAATATTTTGTAAATTATGAGCAAATCTACCTTTCATGGTGAAGCAGTTTATTAGCTGGTACTACCAACGGGCCAACATTATTTCCCGCTAGTTGTCACGCCGGGACTTAATGGACAACTATTGTGGACCGTAACTCGCGCAGACGACTAACTCTTCGATTATACCATGATTCAGCAGAGATTTTCTTCATCTTACTCTGAAGACTGAATAAATTGATTGAAATTGAAATTGATACCTTTCTTTGGAAAAATAATTGCAAAAAAAAAATCAAATCGAAACATTTTCCAGTTCAGAATTTCAATAAACCATCTTCCCCCTGTTCAAATGCCAAGCAAGTTCAGACTAAAATAAAGCTCTCAAACCAGAAAAAAATTGCAAAAAACGTAATCACAGGCCTGTCTTTATATTTCCATCTTTGTCTCTATTTTTTTCTCCGAGCCATCAAAATTATCGTTAATTAGGGAGCAAGGAGTGCAAGAAAAAGCCGTGAAATTCACATGAAGACGTCAAATTACACGTTTTTCCCAATGGCTAGTTCCGCTTCTTCCCGTCTATCATGACGGTCTTTTGAGTCATTTTCTTGGCAAAGTGCACAAATTTCGAAAAGTGTCTAAAACACAAAACTTCTAAAGTGCGACTGCTTTTTCAATAATTATGACTCAAAACCGACAGATTTTCCTACAATCATCTCTGTTGTCTTTCGGGAAAAACAATTAGTCGATAATCTTCGAAACGTTATCGTTATTTCGATTTAATGACATAATTTTATCAACTAAAAAGTTTCAAGAATTAAATGGAAAGCTTTTTTTACGCTGGGAAAGACCTTCTAATGAATGAAAACGGACAAATCAGTGAGTGAGTAAGCTTTTCTTTTGTTTCCGATTTTGGATTAATTTGCTTCGAAACAAAATGATTTTTGATTCTTGGCTGGAAACTTTATAATTTTTTTTCGTTTGGGAAAGTCTGGACAGGGGCGAAAAATCAAGGAATTTCTTACAAGTTCAAAAAGTCCCACGTTGTATAAAGTCCGAAAAAAAACTTTATTTTCTTCAAAAATTGTATCAGAAGGGTAGGAGACAAGATTCTATCAATGGATTGACAGAAAAAAAAAACATCCGTCTTATTTTTCCCCTACAAACTTTCGATACATTTTTGTTACCAAGAAACTAAATCGGGAAAAGTTCTGAAAAACAACAAAGATGAACTTTATCGTAGTCTTTCTTTTTGAAGCTGAATGGAAAAATCTATTATCAAAGAATAATGTTAACTTCGAGAATAATGTAGTTTACTCCGTGGCTTTCGGTTTCAAAACGATCAGAGAACAACTCGGGCAAAGCTCACGCAAAGATTCTTTCTCTTTCTCTCTCAAAATTCACAGAAAACTCTTCAAACTGAAATCGGGTTTTTCTTTCAAAGCACCCATGATTTGGAATTTCACAACGATAAGTTAGCCTAGTCATAAATATTTATCAGACAAATCTTCAATGTTTTTCGAGGTCGGAAAAGGTGTGATAAAACCAAATGACCTGGAGCTGTTTGAAACAAAAATTCGTTTTACTTCCGAAAACAAAAAATATGAGAAGCTTAATTATTGAACAATCAACTGGAAATATGCTTCTCACAGTTGAAACCTACATTTTTCAATCAGTTCAAAAAAAATCCGGAGAAGTTTTCTACAGTTAAACATCACATTTTTGAATCAGTTCGAAAAATTCCGGAGATGAGGAGTCTTTTCCGTATTTTTTAAATTCATGCAAGACTTCTGTATCTTCAAAAGCAAGAGTTCTTGAAGAGGGTTTGTACTACGACACAATTCTGAAAGCCGAGGTGAATAGAAAAAGTTGTTTTGAATCTGCTCAGAAGCTCTCAAAACGTCGAAGAATTATCTGTAAAAGTACAAGGCCTTTTAAAACTTAATATCTTCGAATCTTCGAGCCTTTGCAGGATCAGAAATCTCCAGTTTTTTGAACTGCCCTGCCTGTGACTTGCTTCAAAGACATCTCATGACCTTCGTGAGCGGAAGTTTCACAACTTTTCTTCCTATTTTGTTTATCACAACACAAAATGGCTTCTTCTTGCAAAATCAACGATTCCTGATGCGCAAAATGAATTGAAAAGACAGAATAACCTATTTCGAAGGCTACCCCCGAATAACTTGGACAGCAAACAAATATCTTACTCATGACTACATTTTCTTGGAAAAGCGCCAGCATTTCCTGGGGTACAGTAGTGATGATATCCTAGAATGCATCGCAAAACAGAGAATTATTTCCTGCTCGTTTTTCTGCAGGTTCTTTTTTCATTTAATTCGAACAACTACGATCAAAACAAGGTTGTTTTGGTTTGATTTTAATCATAATCTACACTTGATTAGTTGGGAGATTTTCTTCTAAGTTTCTCGTAATAAATAGCCTACTTTACTTTCGCAATGACCTAGATGAGAAACGATTGTAAGGTCTGTTCAAAAATCGTTTCTGAATATATTTAAAACGAATACGTGTTGCATGAACTGAAATTACACAGATCTTGTTCAAAACTTGTTCATGCTCTTCCAAACGCCTCGGAAAATAACTTCGAAAAAAATAATCATTAACATTTCACATAGTTACAAGAACAAGACGAAATACTTTCATTGAACTGATTCATTTTCCAAACATTTTTTCTCTTGGAAAATGAATGATTCGGAAAAAAGGAACTTTTTTGCAGTGCACTTCCAGACTCATTTTTTGCCGTCTTTCCCACGACGCGTCAAAAAGTGTACGAAAGTCGCGAAAATACGACACGCAACTCATAATTTGAGTAATTTCTAGTGATAGGAATATATCTGCACTTCAACGCCTTGAATTTATCTGATAGAAAGGTCAAAAAGGGCTTCACAAGGAGAAAAATTGGCTTGTGGGAAGAATTAAGACATTTTTCAAATTAATATCGACGATTAATACAAAGAGGATTATTATGTTGCGAGGGTGTTAATCCGTTTAAAAATTGAGACATTATAGATTAATCCTGCTTTTTTTTTCCATGGTAAACCAGACAAGATATGTGCGACTAGACTAGGTAGAAATAAAAATGAAAGAAATCGCAATCTTCGTGAAATAACTTTTACGACAAGCATTGGCAAAAAGTTTTTTCAAGACATTTTTTTATTCGTCTTGATGCTAAAGCATTCTGTAACTACCCAAAATAAACGGAAACGGAAGATTAACAATTGAAAAAAGAACAAAAATTTCTTTTATTTGCGAGAATAATGTGAAATTCAAATTCTTATTTTTCGCGGGTGTACCTGTAGAGCGCAAATGAGCAAATGTAAAATAATTTTGACATTTTCTTTCTTTTCCTTTCTTTTTTTTGTATTATCCTTTTTTCAACTTATTGTTATATGATACTGCAAATTTAAAGCAATGAAGTTTCCTTCACAGTTAGTCTGAGATTCACAATCTGCCTTTTCACATTACCATTTAGTCAAAAAGTGAGCTAGAGAGATACTTCAGTTTGGTTTTTCTTTTTGCTTCAAACCAAGCTTTTCTGATCTTTAATCCAAGTCAAACCTTTTTGAACCTAAAAAAAAGGTTGAATCTTGAAGTGACGCTGTTGGCAGAATGCCTAATGGGCCAGCGGCGTCAAAATTTTCGAAACACTTTTTTTAGCGCCATATCAAATGACTTTTTGGCAAGATTTTTTTTCTTGCAAAAAAATCCTAGTATTGGCGGATGGATTTTAACGATTTTGATTAAATAGTTTGAGTAAAAGGATTTTAGAGCACTTTTATTATGCTCAAGGAGTATATTGAGAACCGCTTTTGCATAATAACTTTTCAGTTATTCTTGAAGAAGCTCGACCCGTTTTGAATGAATTGAGTTCCCTGTGGACTCTGTCTACAACCGCCTTTCGTAAATAATTCTATTCATTATAAGGTTCTTTCAACCGAAATCTTTTCTTTTCAGTTATCAAAAAGATTCTTCGATGTTTTTCTTTGCTTCCGGCTCATATTCTGCGGAGGCGACATATCAAATCTTGGAAAATTGGTCCAGTTGGTTGGTTCTTTTGAAGTGATTTACGCCTCAAGAAAAAAGCCTGTCCATTTAATTTAGCGCGTGGGATTCATGCATTTTCCTTTTGAGGCTTCTTCAACATGAAGTTATTGAAATAGAAGACCTTCCGAGCTTTATTTGAAATCTCAAACAGCAAAAAAAAAGAACGAAAGAATTTATTACATTCACATGTAGAACACGTAAGTAGGGAACCCTGGTAGGAAAGTATTAGTGAAAAAAAAAACGAAGCGAAACAGGAAAAAGAGAATTTTTGAGGGGAAGAGGCTATCACAAGCGTTTGGAAAGATAGGATAGTGCCGGGAGGAAAGATCGGAGCGTTTTCAAAGTTTTTACAGGAATTTCGGAGCTATGCAAAATGTACAGGGAACTATTCACAAGAAGAAGTACGGTAGATGGTTTTCGTGGCGAGACACAGTTTGGGGATAAAATATGATGGTGGCTACACGGATTCCGAGATCACAAAGTATGACTAGCATGTTTTAACTTTCTTTTGTTCATAACACTGTCCTAACAGAAAAAAAAAGAAATGAAAACTATAGGATGGTAAAAGTGGAAAAAAAGAATAATAACATCATAAAAGAAAAACCTAGCGAGGATCGGACTTTGGAGTCGCTTTGGACAAAAATTACCTAGGCACTCTGGACCAGTTCTTTTTTTCTTTTTTCTTTCAGTAGAATAAGATCAAGCTTGTCTTCTTGTCTCAGAGTTTTCGAACAAGTTGAGCCAATCTCAGAGTGCTTCAGCAACTAATCCATTCTGATGTGACTTCTGGAGGATTCTGAGCCTCCGACGTCGACTTCATTTGCTCGGACAGCACATTTCTTTCATGTCGGCCATGGAACACTTGCTGACGCAGCATTTCGTCGCAACGCCGACTGAATCTCCTGCAAAAGGAATAGCTAGATTCATTCTTTCAAAGGAAAAAGCAAACCGTTGCTGTCTCGCTTCCTCTTGAAGGGAGATCGGAGGGCCGAACAACCCTGTGGACAGGCCTTGTTCAGCGCCTCCTTGATCTTGATCCCGCACACCCTGGTTTTCGCTTCTGGAGTTCTTCTTGCTCGGCTTATGACGTCATAAAAGTCGCGTTCCTCGGGCAGCATCTCTGCTGCTTGAACTCGATGCTGTAGTTCATCCAGCACGAGCTCTTCCTCCCGCTCAAGTCGCTCCAGCCTTTCTTCTAAGAGCTGGAGCTCCCTGGGCAGTCGGGTCCTAGCAAAAGCTTCACAGGAGATCACATAGAGGGCGAATACAGTGATGAGGTAGATCAGGACGCTGGGCATTTGGAATGTATAGGGATACTGGATAAGTGGAGTTACTCGTTTCAGAACACAACGCAATTGATAAACACGGAATTGAGGTGAGGGAAGGCGGATATATCGAAGTGTGCCGATGAACTATAGCCACGCCTTATATTTAAGCGATCTCCAGAGGGGCGTGGCACTACTACGACTCTCGCACTCACACGCACTCACGTCGCGCTCACACAGACAATCGGAAGAACCTTGCAGTGAAGAAAAGGGGGCGGAGTCGAGGGTGACACTCGACGGCAGTAAGGTGAGACTCCTGGACGAGCTCCTTGGCTGGGACTCCTGGCCGACCTATTAATATCCAGAGGAATTGCTACTGGATAATTATTTCTTGTAAAAGGAAACTGAATCAAGCGGTTTCGGATAGGAAGTTGACTCTAGAGAGTGAAATCTGGAGAAAAGAGCCTAAGAAAATTAAAAAACGGTTCAAAAAGTCCAGATTATTCAGCTCAATCACCGTAATCAAGAAAACATTTTTAAAAGGCTGAAGATATTTTTAATTTCAATTTAACATCATACTCAATCCGAGGCAGCTGAAAATTGTTGGGAAATGTACAAGGTCAAGCTTCTGATGTAGGTCTATTCTTTGAGTCTAAAAATTAAGAATAAAATCTAAAATTTATACTGATTTTTTAGTTACAGGCAAAATTTTTTGTAAACAGTAACTGTGTTTGAATGGAGATAGAGGCTGCAACTGGAAAACTTGATTCTCTTCGAAATGAAGAATTGAATCGGCATCGAGAATGTCTGAGCGCGTAGCGGCCGCGTCGAGTTTTTGCTCAGTAGTTCGAGAAAGTGGATAAATCTTTGAACAGAAACTTCCTTTTAACCGCTTCTTGACACCTGAAAAAAATAAAACTTTGCTTCAAATCACCGATTTTTCTTTTGAAGAAAACTCAACTCCCTCTCGTTCTCTAAATTTATCTAGAAGAATTCAAATTAGCCTCCTTGCACTTTTGAAAAGCAAGATTTTTCTTTTCAATTTCCGATGTCTCATGGACGGACGTAACGCACGATGGCCATCTAAGGTTTCTACATGATTTCCAAAAGTTTTCATTTCAAAGCACTTTGACAGAGAAGAAGAAAGTGTCGTCAAACTTTTCAGCACATTTCGGGGTTTCCTGGGAAAATTAGTCGGGTTGGATTCCAGAGATCTGAAAAAGTGTTCTGATTCTGCAGAGATTCTGTTTTTTGCACTTGAACTGTGTTCTGAATTTTTTCTCAAGCTTATTGTTAGGATATAATCACACACTTTTCGGCAAGTCTAATTGGTTGCAAAACTTTTTTTGAAACTGCACAGCTGAGAGTTTGACTCAAATGAGAGCTGGTTGAGCTGATTCCAAGGCTTCAAGCTTTTACTGTAGGATGCTAGAAGTTTTCAATTTTTCCTTATATGCTAGAAAAATTGAGGAGAGCTTTTCATAATGGAAAAGAGAAGTTTCAAGAAAAGCTTCTTCCAAGCGCAGACTTCGGAAATCCCGAAAGATCAGGCTACATATTGACCAGAATGTTCTCGGCCTGTTGTTCACGTGATGATAGGGGACTCCTGAGGGTATAGTACTATTCGGAATGTCCGAGGCCGGAGATGACCCGGCGAGATAGGCATGACGTCACCCCGAGGCAACTGTGCCGAGTTTTGGTAGGGTTAGGTAAGGGAAAACATCGGATTAGGCTAGATACGAACTGTGGAAGTTTTCTGAAGAAGTTTTTCTTTTTTCAGAGTGACTCAAAAGCAGAGAGGCAGTGAAAGGAGTAAAAATTTTTCGGTTAGAAAATTTTTAAATTTTTTTGTTGGATTTTAAGGAAAAAAATGGACTGAAAACAGCTTTTCGCCTCACCTTAAAGTTTGTTATGCCATAAAAATCCGAGTACAGGATCCATAAATTAAATTAAATTTTGATTCGTTTCTTTTTTTGATAGTCCTAAAGTTTACGCTTGATTTTTTTCAAGTGACTGGTTCATTTTTTTCAACAGGAGACCGCTCCGCGACCGCACGCGTCTAAAAATCGAACCGCAATTTTTCATCCGTGCGGAAGGCAGTATAATCAAAGCTGGAAAAATTACTAGAAATCATATAAAATAAAAAGAAATATATTGAAAAAAAGGCACTCGTCTTTCTAGCTTTTGTGCTCCATAGATAACGGCGAGCAGCTTTACGGAAATTTCTAAGTTTTTCCTTCAATTCATTTTTTCCACAGATTTATGATCGGAAAATTTGCTATTTCGAGTAGTCAAGTTATTGATAATTATCGATGGGGCGCAAAAAGCTCATTTTGAGGATGTTTTTCTCACTACAGTAAACATATCCCCATTCCTTTCCTGACCCAAAATTTTAAACAAAGAAAAAGAACTTTCTTAATCTTCCAGTATCAAATCTATTCTCGTTGCTGCTTCTCATAACAAAGTACATGATAGTGCAGGAGAATTTATTTATTTTCATGTTGACAGGAAAACAAGAAGCCCTCCATGTGTTGATAAACATTGAGATTAGAGCAAAAAACACTGGGTTTCTCCAAGATCAGAACACGAACATAGTTCGGAGGCTCCTTTTTTGGATCGGGTGTTTACTTTGAGGATTAATTTCAACTATTTTCGAATATGGGATTCTGAAAAGTCAAAAAAAAACTCGTAAAAAATTTTCAAACAAAAAAAACGGCGGCTTTTTGCATTTTTCCAACCTTATGAATCATTTTAGTGTTATTTTATGCTTCTCTATGCTCTCACGCGAGAATCGCTTTCTGTCGTGCGCTACTTGAAACAACCGCTTCGCAGCCGCTACGCTTTCACTCATTTTACGTGAGATTCTAAGTTCAGTTTTATTTTTTTCTTTTTTGTGTCTTTGAGAATCTATAAACGTGAAAATAGGTTATCCTATATTCTTCTTTTTAAATTCTCTTTTTCATGCCTTATTCCAAGGAACACTCAAGAGGCTCTAAGTGAGACTTATAAGCGCCATTCAAATGCAAAAACACTTTTTTTTCATTTATATTGTTTTGGAAGTTCTTCCCAGCACGGCTTGGCACACAAACAAACCGGCCAAAAAATCTTCAGGTGTTTCTTTTTTTCGGCTCTTTCGGAGGACCTGAAAGGACTTCGTTCGTCTTTGAACTTTTTCCAACTCAAAAAACTAGAAGATCTCGGCTTTTTCAGGGAGAAAAAAGGCGCGGATTACTGGCGAAAGCCTTCTACGACATTTTTTTTCTTTTAGAATTGAGTTCTCATATGTTTCATTCTCTTCCCTGAGAACCACGAAAGAGCAAAGAGTGCCAAGAAATGAAATTCTTGTCATTTTCTGAAAAATACATCTTTCAGAAACTTTTGGGTTTGTAGAGCTTGAAAATGGTGACAAAACAACTGTAATTTGATTAGAGAAATATTCCAGAATTCAATTAAAGTTCCTATTAAAGATCATCTTCAAAACTAGTTGACTAGTCAAAAAAGAGTTTTCAAACTTCTCTTTCTCACAAACTCTTTTTTTCATTCTAATTTCCGTGTGACTGAAAATGGCAACAGGATAAATTGATTAACGACAGTATTATGATCTTATTAGGCTCAATTAAAAGTTCTTTCAAAGTTCAATTCTAGAACTTCGCCAATTATTCATTAAAACAAAAGTAAAGAAAGGACAAATGAGAAGATTTTCCGTTGATCACTAAAATAGATGTTCTCAAGGTGCAGTTTCTGTTGTTTTGTTGGAAAAGGCACGTCAAAAGTCAGACTTAATAAGGTATAATTTGGGTTGGTCAAAGGATATATCATTAGCATCTTAAAGATTAAAAAAATTTATAGTTAGAACTCAAGAAAAATAGCTGCCAATTTTCGAGAAATTCGAGTAGCGTTCAAAAAGTTTCCAGTTTCAAAGAATTTGAATTAAATTCAAACTGGAGGCAATCAGAAGATGAACTAATCTTTTTGTTCAAAAATCTACATATAGGAAAATTAAATTTTTTTTCACGTCTTGAAACTTTTATTCGTTGCGGAGCAAGGTTAAACGCGTTACGGTCGCATAGTGGATGAGCCTGAATGCACCCGACCGAAACTACTTGCGCTTCGTGGCATCTTGGGGCCTAGGGAAACTCGCTCGACGTCGGGCACACAAGGAAAAAATTGAGAATTTGCAACATTTGAGCCATTATTTTCAAATCGCGGAATGACGAATTTATATTTTAAGGTGGCTGCAAAATCGTTGATCAGACATTTAAATTATGCTCTAATTAGCTGGGTTCGAACTGTAGAAGTTGCAATAAAAAAATCTGTAGAAACTCATAGACCACAATGAAGTTGAAGGAAAGGTTGCTCTTCAGCAGAAAGAGACCTTTTTCGGTTTTTTGAAATATCTTGAATTTTCGTAGAATCTGACCTGTAGACTTTATGCTTTTCCCGATGTTCGGTCTTGACAAACCCAAGTTTTTTTAAGGACTCCTGATCCTTTGCACGCGAAAGCCCACTACGGATCAACTTTTCGCTTTTTTTTCCGATTCGAGAACCTCGCATAGTAAGACTTCTTTCCAAGCGTTCAAACACCTAATTTTTGACCTTTTCCGGATTTTGGAAAGGAAAAAAAACGAAAATCAAAGCCCACGGCAAAATAAATAGAAACTGTGACGCAGCAAAGTGGTCCGTTTTGGCCTCGAGGAAGTGACAAAACGACACGATCTCGGATTTCAATGCGGGGGAAAATGAGCGTTTCTATTTCCGCCTAATGCCATCGGCAAATTTGGGATTTGAACTTTTGAAAAATGTTAAAAGGGCGCGAAAATGGATTTTTCTTTTGTTAAAAAGGTCAAGGAAATTTGGTTTCAGCGTATTGAGTTTCTTCCCGAAGCTAAATTTGGAATCACTGACCTCATTTGGGGAAAAAAAGATTTCGGGATGCAATTAGCTTAAAAAAAAAGATACTAGTAATTTTTTGGGGACATAATTATTCAACATCCAACACTACAAGAGCAGACTAAGAAAAAAATCAAATTTTA